CGGGACGATGTCATGTTTATCGAAGAGGTTGATCAGGACCGAATTAACTATTAGTGACAGAAGTATTAGCTTGTGGTTCATGATGATATCGTGGCGAGAGCCCTTTTTTCCTTTACGGAGGGGGGATCATACGGTACTCATCCAGTCGCTTATCCTTGAATTCCTTTTCTGCAAGTTGTTCCGGAGTGAGCTGCTTCTCGATCAGGCGGGAGGCGGTGCGGGCAGGGGCCTTTGAGGAGGATCCCAGCGGGTGAGTAACCCCTGATAGGCGGATGGGTATAGCCTGCGATACCTCCAAGGCGAATAAAAAGGAGAGAAGTAGTGCGATGAATCTCATGGTGACAGTTGCAATTGAAAGTTGCTTCGCAAGTAAGTAGTTCCTGTGCGCTTAAGTGGGTTGGGTAGAGAGATGTGAGAGGCGCGATGAACAAGAGAAATGAGAGGGAGGCTGGGAAGGACGGGGGATCTTCATTTAAGTATTCTCAAGGGCGATATAGGAAATCTCAGGAAAGGGGTATCGTGTTCAGTTTGTCGAGGCAAGTCGTGGTGGGTAATGAGTTCCCAATTTAGTAGAACTGCTGCTTTGGTGGAATTGAGAGGTTGATATCACATCATAGGTGTAGCGTGCGCTCGCTTGGGCAGACTAGCGGAAAGCGAGTGTAAAGATGATGTGCAACATCACAAATAGTCACTCGAGATATCATCACCCTATGGGATTATCGCCAATCAATAATAACTGAACACGTCCCGGTATAGTAGCAACGGGAAAAAACTTCCACAGAATTTGACAACAACACGGGGGCTAGGGGTCAATATTGTGAACAGCACTCATTAAGCCGGAAACGATCATACCTAAATAAGGGTGCAGTCAATCCATCTCCATCTGTCCAGCGGTTTTGATGGGCACCGGGAAGGGATTTCGTGGAGTTGCCGCTAAACTGAGTTAGACCTATATGCTCTTCACAGGTACTATACTGAGGAATCTTTCCCACTGTTACCTATAGGTAACAATAATTTTAGGGCGCTCTATAGTACTCAGGTGTTCTAAGAAAATCGTCTATTTTGGTTTCTTTTTCCTGCTATCCCTTCTTCAACCGGTCTACTATTAGCAGCAGGGAAGCGAGAATGATGGATAAATATCCTGGACCACCCCTAAAGAATCTGAGGGGCCACTAAAGTTAGTAAAAGTATTTGTACAGGTAGAGAATTAAGGTTTCTTCTCATCATGAGATCATAGAAGGGCAACCGTATACTCATATTCAGTATGCTTTTTGCCACGGAGAATACTCCTTATCCTCTTAGTCTGTCTTGTTATTTTATTATGTCTTTCAAAATACTGTATTTTCTTTCGGATGTTTTTTTAAGACTTTATTTTAGACAAATCTATTCTCTTGCTGTTTGTGCGAAACGATCATTACGACCAGCTTATTGTTGTTGTTAAGTGTCCTGAAGTTTACGTCAACATCTCTCTCGAAAAACTCGATTAGGTAAGAGCTGTGTAAGAGGTACTGCCGCTGATATTATGTAACATGGGAGCTATCCCGAATCTATCACCATGACTGCGACGCGCTCTACGGAGTAAGATACTGCTCCACGCCAGACTTTCATTTTTCGAATTGGGACCTCTCAACTTCTTTTGATCACTTTGCAAGAGCACTCTCATTCTCAAAACAGGCCTCAAATTCCACATCATTCCAAATACCCAAGATCAAACAAGGAAGAAAGAACAGGTTGTGAGGGAGAATTAGTAGGATAAAGAGTACTTGGAGAACCATGTGGTGGAGGGATCAGGCAATAAGGAAAATTGATGTGGATTTGGAGTTCGTATTGATGCTTAACTAGGGGGAGAAAATAAATAGCTTGGCAATCAAATTATCACTATTTGCGCGCAAGCAAGTCACCTGCCTTTTGGGATATATCAAGTGATGGGAAACTGCCCAGAATCCACACTACACTCAATGCTTTGAAACTAACGGAACAGTTTCGATTTCTCCTAGTGTGTCCCAGGCCTGAACCAGCGTGCGATATCTTCGCATATCCGGCACCCGTTGACAAAATACTTACTAACCAGATGACATAAGCTGAAAGACTACCGGCGTTACAAGTCATTTGTGAATCCCGTGGGCTTTAGAAAAGCTAGATCTACAAAGCCAATGCCGGTCTCACTTTGGCCCGGCCTAGCAGGACTGTACATTTACAGGCCCTCTATGGGCTTGCCTGGCCCCTCGCGCGCACACGGATTTGAAAATCGGGCGGGAAGCTGCCTGATGGTCCAGCCTTTAATCTCAGCGGTATTCCGGTAATTGCTTGGACCCACCTCCTTGAAATTGTGTGGGTTAGAACATAGCGAAATTCCAATCTTGATGCCGACAGGTATGGCGGTTTTCACAATAATATTAGGGTATCTCATTTCTGGAAAACCCACAAGTATACAGGCTAACATAGTCAACTTAATAGTTAAATTGGCTGAGCCAGTGTGGCAGGGGGACCTTTTAGTTTTCTAAGGCGTATTTTCTCGCCCTCGGATGTACTTAATATTCTGCTGTATCGAACCTTGCCATGCTATATCATCCCCGCTAGTATCGGATTCTCGGAACCCTACAGTTCTAACTAACAAACATCCCGCTCAATGTAGGAAACTTATCAATTCAGCTGCGAAAGAAGATATAGCTTTGGGGTCAGTTTGCAATTTTTATGTGTAATTTAGCTAATCAGGGAACGGCACTGCAAGGACAAGATAGTTAGATCGCAAGAGAATATAGTACGTGTTTGTGGCTGAATTTTGTGCCCCTTCGATGTTATCACTTATATATAGATAGAAGGTCGATCGAGTTATGATTCGGGTAGCTGAACCTTCAGTAACCCCCCGCATCTCTCTTTACGAGAACGTTAAAAGGTCCAATCTATCTACAGATATTTTAGATGGTTTTATTGAGGAACTCTGCCGAAAACCAAGAGTCATAGGATGTCACTCGGGAATATTAATCACAAGTACAAGCTGTTGGGAGCACATAAGTAGTATAGGCCATGATGACTTCTTGGGGAAGCTGTTGGCTGCATGGTATACCTGCCTTGGGAAATAGTCATGAAGCTCTGGTGGTCCGAAAGCCTTTGGAGCTATGATATTAATTTCTCTGAGTAACTTGTGCGTTAACTTAAGCGGGAAAATTCGAAAAGCCCACAAACCTACTTATTGATGACAAATGAAGACTATAAGAATGCACCAGGCATCCTTTCTATTGCTCTATCTAGTTCCAACTGACTCCAGAGGATTTGAGCCGTCCATAGGAGCATGTAATCACCTAAGTGGTATATCGATGTTGTGATGGGCGCGACGAGTGGGCATGGTGGGGACAGGGATTTGTTTTTTCTTTATATATTATGCGTACAAGTATCCTCATTAATTTTCTTATTTCCTACCTATGGTTAATTTTTTGATATAATATCATACGTGGGGCGGCTATTGTCGGAAGTGTTTGTGGGGGTGAGGCATAAAAGCGTCTTCCCCCACCTTCCTTCCCTTCCCTATCATACAAAGAGGAGGGTGACCACAAGATTTTCCAGGTGCACGACCGCGCCGAAAATTTGATTTTCTTTTCTCCCCTTCTTTCCCTTCTTTCTACTTTTCCAGTTCCCGTACGAACCTATCGACCGGAGTTTGATGGAATGCCCACTGGCGCAAGCCTGATGACTCCATATTGATCGTGTGCAAAGGCATCAATGGCTTCCTTGCCTGTTGTTAAGTGTCACCGGGTGAAATACGAGTATAGCCTACTCAACATCTCAGTTCCCTTTCCGGATCCGCTTTCGTTCTTTCGCTCCAAACTTTCTCCTTACCTTCCCCTTGCTTGTTTCCTCCCTTCGTTCACGTTCGCCCCTCGCTTCCTCACAACCCTACCATCCTCTTACCTTGTCGCTCATTTTGAACACATGGAGTTGTGAACGCGCTCATCCTAGGGCAATTGATCTAGTGATGGAACACTTTTTAAAAACAGAGCCCTAGCGTTACAAGACTGCCATCATACCTTACTAGTCCACACATTAACCAATTTGAGGCTCCGGGGCTTAGTGGGGACTATCTGGTCTGATTTTCCAGAAAAAAAAAAGCGGTTCAACCCCGCAGATCGTGGAGTCTAGAATCACCAATATAGTTGGAATGCCTGAAAATAAGTATAACGATAATACTTATAATAGAAATAAAATGAGGCTAGAAGACCGACTATTGATACGTTTTTTGGTCCTGGCCGTGTTGTGTCAAGCTTAGGCATGTTAGATTCATGCCCTGGGCCTTCAGGGAAAAAATCTGGAATAATATGCAACCCAAACCATTCCTTCAAAGATTGCTCATCAAATCCCTCTCATTTCACCCTTATATCCAGTGTGAGAGAGATTAACTTAACAATCCAGTACCGGTACTACCACGATTGTTCCAAAGAAGCCTCACAAGAAAAGTGGGAAGAGGATTCAGCAAGCTCTTCAAGCATAAAGCGAATTCAGACCTCTCTGTGCGTGAAAATTATTGCCGCTGCCTCTTCTCTTGCGACGCCCCTTCTCTCTTTTCGCTCGTTTCCTGTGCTCTTCATTCCCCCATGACCGGGTTGACTCCACGTTAATCATTCCCCACCGGTCCCGATCAGCACGGGTAGACTCCCGCAGTCAGCTTTCCTCTCTCCCCTGTGGCTGTGTTGAAAAGCGTGGCTGAACACTCAGCGCAGCCACATTTCAGGCACGCCGGGAGGCGCGTATCATTATTTTCCAACACTTGCAGTGACACACGTTCTTTATTTCTCGCTTTGATACAATTTAAGCATCAGCCTTGATCCTCTCCGGCTGACCCCCACACCGAATATCCTATTTGCCACAAACATTTAACGCGTCGCTTCTCCTAACTCTCCTCCGCTGTGGCTTCGCACAGGATATTCTTCTGCCCTCCGTTGCTCATTCGGAGAGCGCATCGCGTCTGCCCAACGTTCAGCGGTCATTTATTTTCTCTTGGAACAATGTCGTCAAGCAAAAAACAAACGACTCTGGGGTATGTAAAGTCTCAGACGACCTTAGGGTGTGTTTCTTCCAACACCTTTTTGCTCTCTTGGATCTCTCACACTTCTTTCCCCGTTCCGCTGTTTTCCTTTCCTATTCTCCCCCATCTGCCGCGTTGTGCCTGGGGAGATTCCTCTCTATTCACGGTGATTATATGCTTATACCTATAATCTATATCCAATAGACGGTTCTTTAGCCTCCCAGCCGGCACCAATCCGGCCACTCCCATTCAATCGAAGCTCAAGACAATCAGTAAGCCTGGCAAAGCCGCCGATACCGACGATGTGGCTTCTCCTAAGGTTAGGAAGACCTCTGCCAGAGGCCAGGCTCGGAAGAAACCTACAATTCCGGAGGATGACGGATCCGATGGCGGTGCAGGGTATACGAAGGCCGGTGTTAGCTTTTCGGAAACGGAGATGTCTGATGCTTCAGAGCCAGCGATCGGTTCGAGCAAGCAGAAAGCTCTAGGGAATTCCTCGACGAAGAGAGAGAGACCTGGTGGGTCTTGCAAATAAACAAACAGAATGTCCTTTTTTTGAAACTTTTGCTAACGTAATTTCTTTACTAGCTGCTCGGAAGTGCGGTATTAAACCTTCAAATATCAAGAAGGAGACAGAAACTTCTGAAGACGAGGCGCCTCCTAGCAAACGTTCTAAAAGTGCTCCCACTACCAAACCGCTCAAAAAGGATTGCGATGAGTCCGAATTGTCAGATGAAGACATCGCACCCAGAAAGCGTTTGCCGATCATCAATTCTCCAAAGGCGACTGCCAAAAAAAGGAAAGGCAAAGTTGTGGGAAAGGCCGTCGATGTGAATACGCCTGTTTCGCCTTCTGGAACTACAAAGGGTGCCAGGTCCTCGCCTATTTCTTCACCGGTTGTCTCTCCTCAGGAGTCGGGAGAGTCTGAGCCGCCCCTTCCAGAATCTCCTTCAAGCACACCTAAGATATCTAAATCTAAGTCTGGGTCTAAGGCTAAAGTTGCTAAAAAGTCGCCTTCTGATAAGAGATCTAAAAAGAGAGGGGCCGCTTCGGACACTGAAGCTGTGGATAAGCCTGAAAGCTCTGCGACACACAAGGCATTAGATTCAGACAGTGGGACTGAGAAGCCTTCACTTGCACCTGCGGCAGGCCGCGAGATGATTAAAAAATTATCTAAATCCGTTCCTCCAGCATATCCCGATTGGGTTGCTGGTGAGCCGACCCCCTATGCGGCCTTAGTAACAACCTTTAATCTCCTGGAGTCAACGACCAAACGTCTTGAGAAAATCTCGCATACATCTCGATTCCTGAGGCAGGTTCTTCAGCTTTCTCCTGATGAGCTTTTACTGGTAATTCACTTGATGATCAACAAACTTGCCGCTGATTTCGAGGGTGTCGAAATGGGTATTGGCGAGAGTTTGCTCATGAAAGCTATTGGTGAGAGTTGTGGTAGGAGCTTGGAGAGGATTAGAGAGGATCAGAGAGAGTGTGGTGACCTAGGACTTGTTGCAATGAAAAGCAGAAATAATCAGAAGACGCTCTTTGCTCCCCGGCCCTTGACTATCGCTGTTGTTCATAAAGGCTTATTGGGCATCGCAAAGACTAAAGGTGAAGGTGGTCAGGGCCGCAAGGTCTCGGCTATCAGAAAGCTCCTCGCTGCTGCAAAGGGAGATGAAGCAAAGTTCCTGATTAGAGGACTGGAAGGTAAACTCAGGTTGGGACTTGCGGAACGAACTGTCTTGGTCTCATTAAGCAGTGCGATGATCACCCACGAACAGGAGCTTGTTGGCAAAACACCAACTACGGCAATGTTGGATCAGTCGGAGCTCAATCTCAGAAGCGTGTATAGGTTTGTACCTTCAACGACGAGCTTTAACAATTTATGAAATTCACCTAACCCTTTCATCTATAGTGAGTTGCCGAGCTACGAGATCATCATACCCGCTATGAGAGAACACGGCATCATGGATATTAAGAAGTATTGCAAGTTGCAACCTGGTATTTTCACTCTTCAAGCATCATGGTAAAATTGAAATTTGTTACTAATTACCCTGTAGGTGTCCCTGTAAAACCCATGTTAGCAAAGCCAACAAAAGCGATATCAGAGGTTCTTGACAGGTTTGAAAATAAACGCTTTACTTGCGAGTACAAGTACGACGGGGAACGTGCCCAAATCCATTACGTGTCGCCAAAGTCTTCAATTGAGTATCCGCCAGCTACTCTTAGCGGAGAACCAATCAAGAATCTTGCCAAGGTCTTTTCTCGCAACTCGGAGGATCTGAGTGGCAAGTATCCTGACATCCTTGCGGCGATGAACGAGTGGGTTAGGCCCGAGGTTGAGAGCTTTGTTCTTGATTGTGAAGCGGTCGGGTGGGATGAGACCAATAATCGTCTCCTGCCATTTCAAATGCTTCAGACCAGAAAAAAGAAAGATGTCGCACTAGAGGATGTAAAGATCAGAGTGTGTGTTCATGCATTCGACCTTCTATTCTTGAATGGAAAGGTGTGTGGTGGGATCTGCTCCTGGGTTTGATTCGCGATACGCTGCTAACATTGTTGCTTAAACGTTTGAAGCCTGTTGTTCGTGAGTCTCTCGATGATAGGAGGAAGCTCATGCATAAAACGTTCATCGAAGTTCCCAATCAGTTCGTGTTTGCTCGGTACATGGATAGTAGCCATCTCGAAGAAATCCGTCTCTTCCTAGACCAGAGTGTGAAGGACTCTTGTGAAGGACTAATGGTTAAAATGATGGACGGTCCCGAGAGCTTCTATGAGCCTAGTCAGAGGAGTCGTAATTGGCTTAAAGTAAGTTGCTTTTTTCACTCAGTTTTTTATTTTATTGCTTTGTTTTTTTGTTTTTTTAGCGAGCTGGACCTGTGTCGAGACCCTTGCAAGTGCAGCCCTTCATTTCCACGTTCTCCCCTTCCATCTGATAAGCGGCGCGCAAGCCCCCATCCCCTCCTTGTTGCGATCTGAGGGATTTTTTATCTGATAAAAATTTTGCGCGCCACGATCAGATTAAGAAGGATTATATCGATGAGTTAGGAGACTCCTTGGACTTGGTTGTCATTGGCGCCTACTGGGGCAGGGGCAAGCGCACTTCCGTTTATGGCTCCTTTCTACTAGCTTGTTACAATCCTGGTACTCAGAACTATGAATCCTTATGCAATATTGGTACTGGTTTCACCGAGGCTGAACTCGAAGAGTTCTATGGGACTTTGCACCCCCTCGAAATTGACAGGGCCAAGCCTTTCTACGACCATCCAAGTGGTAATGCGGGCAAACCGGATGTTTGGTTCGAACCTAAAGTCCTCTGGGAGGTTAAAGCAGCCGATTTGACCTTGTCCCCTCGTTACAAGGCCGCAGCTGGCCTGGCTGGACACCCGGATAAGGGCGTTAGTCTCAGGTTCCCGAGATTTATTGGCCCCAGGACCGATAAGACCGGTGAGGACGCGACCAGTTCTAGTCAAATCGCGGAGATGTATCTCCGCCAGGATCAAGTTGCGCATAAAACTGGAGCCAAGGGGGTTGATGACGATTTCGAATATTGAACCACCCCCCCCCTTTGCTGTTTTCCTTTGAGCCACTATGTTTGCAACTTTTGGGTTGAGCGAGGGTTGCGGATTTGTTGCACTGGGTTGAGGGGGATGTGCAGGGAAGTACTCATGAGATTAGTTGCCGGTTTTAGTTGTAGGTAGATGGATAGCTTTTTTCTTTGTACCATACCACAGCTACTACAAAATTTCAAATGGGAATCCGCTTGGGATCCCCAAGTTAGCTGGGAGGAATGGTATGCCGGTAGTGCGCACGGATCTCGGGTGGTCAGGCTTTAGAAGCAAATTCCAATGCTGCGTAGTGGATTTTAACAGTTACCGCCATTTCCAACAGAATCACCCCCTCCTTCCCTCCCAACCCCCCAAATCCTACTGTATTGACTGTCACACCGATTGGAATACTGACTAGCATAACTTGGTGCTTTACCCTGTACCGCAGCTAAAAATTCCACAACAAAAGCTCACTCGTCGGTAAGTAGGGAATAACAACAAACCGCAACCGTGGGCGCGGTGTTTCGTGCAGTTGCCGGAGTGCGTGATAAAAGACGACTAGATTGCAGGTGATGGAAAGTGAATCCCCCACTGCCCGGAGCGGGGGAGAAGTGTCGAGTCCGGGTAGAGTATAATAAAGAAATCCTTGTATATGCCTGTACGGTAGTGTACAAGCATCTGTGGCAGTATGTATCATACTGTACTTGTGTCAATGAATACCCTGTGGCGTTGCTCACACGACTGCAAGCGGGGTCGGCGGGGGGGGATAGAATGAAATGATATTATATGAACTTGGCGGGCTGGCTGCATGGTAATTGGCTGTGGCCGTCTTGTGTTGTGTGCCGCGTCATTGCTTTCATACAAGCACAGTATGATAGTAGATATCATTACCAGGTAGACTAGACTATAGTACGGTGCTCCTGGATTGCGGGCTGTGATTTTGACAAAGATATATTCAAGATGTGCAACTGCTATTACAGCAGTTTTCCAAGTCTTGATGTTGTGCGGTAGACCGCAGTCTGCTGTACTCGCATATTATCTATCATACATGCATCTGCGGGTACAGTACATACCGGTATTTCTCCCCTCCCTTCAATCCATGAACTCATCACCGGGAATTCCAACTACTCCCTCCTCTCCCATCGTCCATCGTCCATACTGTAGTACCCACTATCTCTTCATCCATTGCGAGGGAGAGGGAAGGAGGAAGAGGAATCGTCTCGGAACTCCCCGTCCCAACTCCTCTCCTTCCCCTCCTCTTCCTCCTCTCATATCTACAGGGGTATGATACTACTCATAGTACCCACTCGTTATCAGTAACGATCTAACCCTAAAATCAGATAACGCCGATTAGTTCTGCCGCATACTCGCTCACCGGTTGGGAGATTATGGTCTGACAACAAGCGAAAAAAAGCAAGGAAAACTAGAGTTATCTCAGGATTTGATAAAGCGCATCAAGATCCCTGTAAAGTGGGGGGGTTTTTCCCTGTGTTTTTTCCCTTTGGCTGGGCTTGGCGGACGGACTGGTTGGGATGGTATCATACCGGTAATCTGATTGATCTGATGGTGTGTGATATTGGGGTTGGGGGAATGCACCACCGGGGGAACGGGATGACCTGCACTTTTTTCAAACCCCCTCACTCTCTCGGACTGAATTGCGCGAGCGAACTTCCTTTTGCAACGTTTTTGTATTACCTACCGTACCTTATGATGCCGCACTTTTTTACCTTGCTCCGCTTGCCTTATCATATCTGATCCGATCCGAGCGTACTTATTTAGCGTACGGTATTATTTACCCACCGTGGACGACCGAACAAGGTTCCGCGCACATCGTTGAGCAAGGGTGGGGGGGGGGTATTTTGTTGCGCAAACACTCTTTTTCCATTCTCTGCTTACCGCGTTGATCGTTGTATAATTCGATTAGGAAACCGGTTTGTTGGGTGGATGGATGAGTGTTTACAGTGACATGCGGTGGGGACAATTTGCCTGTCTGTCGGCCTTTTTCTTGCTTGTATGGCGGATTTGGGATGGGACGGTTTGATTTTGGCATCTGATGTCGATGTTACGAGTTTGTTATTAGGTACTGTTTGGCCACTGTAAGCGCAGGGGAATGTTTTGGTTCTTGCTGATTGGAGTTAGTAGCGCTTTCTTTTTCTAAAGAAAAGTATGGGAGATGGGAATTGGGCAAAGATGGGGTTGGGGATTGGTACAGTAATTGTCTGCTTTCTTCGCAGGAGGGAATGGATAAATGAGTGGGATTTCCCCTTCCACCGTATAATATTATGGAAACTCGCACACTGCTCATTTATACCCAAGTTCAGCGTCCTCCCCCCCATCTCGCCTCAGTTCACCTCGAGCCTCACCTGACGACCTATACTGCTGTTGTTCGACGTGACTTCTTCCTTCGGTTCTGTGCCTTGGGATTTCTTGTTTACCCACTGACGGACTTTGCCTTCTAAAATAACTGCGAGGCGGTCTGCTAGTATTGTTTCGCCATTTCCTTTTTTCTGAATATTAACGGCTTTGGGAAAAGTTATCGCTATTGTCATGAAGTCTACCGATCTAGAATCTACGGTTCCGCGCTTTAATGGCAATGATACTGTGTCGAGTGCCGGCTCCGAGGGGGTGATTCTACAGACGGGTGTGCAGCGGGTTGAAGCAGTTGCAAAGACTTGGACCAGGAGGGCATTGTATGTGGCTTATGCTGGGTATGTTATGTCATCTTGCGCTGTGTGATCGGTTAAATGGAAGTAAAGAGAGAATGATTGATTGATTGGCGGATAATTGACGGTGGTGATAGTATCTTCCTGATGGCGTTCTGTACATCGATTGATATTCAGGTAACGAGCTTGCTCGCATTCTATGCAACATCCTCGTTCTCCTCGCATTCCCTGCTGTCGACCGTTGGTGTTGTGGGGAGTGTTCTCATGGGTATGGCGACCACCCTACCCCATCTCTGGTTATGCGGCTTCACCGTTGACTAACTCGCCACGAGCAAACAGCCGTCGTCCAACCCCCAATGGCTAAAGTCGCTGACGTCTTCGGACGAACTGAAGCGTTTGCCATTTCAATGCTCTTCTACATCCTCGGATACATCCAAATGGCTGCTTCGAAGGATATCTCGACCTACGCTAGCGCCCAAATATTCTACGCTGCGGGATCCACGGGCCTCCGCATCCTGCAGCAGATCTTCATTGCCGATACCTCCGATCTTCTTAACCGCGCGTTGCTCTCCTCGCTTCCCGACACACCATTTCTGATAACGGTTTGGGTGGGGCCGGAGATTGCCGAGCACTTTACCACTGGACCTTGGAGGTGGGGGTATGCTATGTGGACTATCATCACGCCTGTGCTCTCGCTGCCATTGTTTATCGCTCTGTGTGTTAATCAGAGGAAGGCCTCGAAGGCTGGGTTGTTGCCAGAATATCCGTGGAAGGCGCAGGGTGTTGTCAGCTTCCTGAAGAGCCTTTGGACGGAGTTGGACATTATGGGAGTTTTGCTGCTGGTTGCGGCTTTCAGTTTGCTGCTGGTGCCCTTGACTCTCGGTGGACAGGCTGTGGGGAAATGGAAGAATCCGAGCATTATCGCTGCTATTGGTGGGTTTATATCTGTTGGCTGGGGGATTTGGAAGAAGGGCTAATTGGCATCACAGTTATCGGAGGTGTCTGCTTGATCCTTTTCCCGCTCTGGGAGATGTGGAAGAAGGCTGCTCCTACGCCTCTCTTGACGTTGAGATTGTTCAAGAACAGGACTGTCATTGCTGGCTGCGTTCTTGGTTTCTTCTACTTTAGTGAGCATCACCGCAATCGTAGCCGGACAAATACGTACTAACAGACCAACCACAGTGGCATACTATCTTTCCCTCCAACCCTATTTCTACTCCTACCTCATGGTCGCCCGCAACACCGGCTCTGTAGCCGCTGGCCACATCACCCTAACCTTCTCTTTCGCTTCGACCGTCTCATCCGTCATCATCTCCCTAGTTATCAAATATACAAAACACTACAAGTACTACATGATCGGCGGAATCTTAATCTACATGCTAGGGATCGGGCTCATGCTCCGCTACCGCAACATCGATTCTAGCAACGCTCAGATAATCTGGACCCAAATCATCGTCGGTATCGGCGGTGGCATGCTAAACGTCCCCGCCCAATTGGGAGTGCAGGCCGCCTCTCTGCACCAGGAAGTGGCCGCCGCAACTGCGCTCTTCCTGACAATTGTGTCCATCGGTGGAGCCGTCGGATCGGCCGTTTCGGGGGCGATCTGGTCACACAACATCCAGAACAAATTAATGCTCTACCTTCCCGAGGCCGCGAAGGCGAACATGACGATGATATACGGCTCCGCCGTCGTGGCCACCAGCTACCCCATGGGATCCCCCGAGCGAACAGCAATTATCAAATCTTACGACGAGACTATGCGCATCCTCCTGATTATTGCTGTTTGTGTGTGTATTCCAATGCTGCCTGCCGGTCTCTGCATGACCAATTACAAGCTTGATGAGGTGGACCAGAGGGTTGAAGGTGTGGTGTTTGGCAGCGCGGGGAAAAAGGTCGCCAGGGGCGAGAGTGGCACTAGAGAGGTGGTGGAGAGGAAGGAGTGAATCCTCTCTTTAGCTTAGCTTAGAAGTTGCCCCCTGCAATAATCTACAGTTGTGGGCTTAATTCTGTGCTCGGGTTATTATGTAATGGTTGGCGATGTGGAAATATTGTGAATGCATGGGGGATGGGATTACCTGGTGCTAGATGGGTATAGATGCCAGTGTATTAAGTAATGAGAAATCATATAGTCGTGAATTGTTAGCATGGCCTCGAAAATTTAATGTCTTCAGGAGTTCAACCACAGAGCTAAAACCGAGTGACCAACCATGAAGATCTCATCCTCGTCAATCTATGAAAACCGAAGGAACAAAAACTGTGCCGGGACAGTGGCTACTGGCACCATACACACTCTCGGCTAACCCTGATACCAAAAGGGCAGGTAGATAGTCTGAGGGGATAAACGAATAATTTCTATGCCCACAATAGGAAAGACCATGCACGGGTGTCCGCATGCTAGCTCGTGATACACTGACAGCACTGCCCGTGCGAGGATATCCTCACGTAACAGAGGACGACTCCAAAGATCAAAACTTACCAGCCCATCACACTTGCCCCTTTCTTAAAAAAAAAAAAAGAGAGAAAAATCTTTTCCCGAATTATACTCCTCTCTTCCACAACGGGAGGTGTATTGATTGATAGGTGCCTACGACGGGCAGAGTACGTCGTACGGTCCTCTGCCGGTACGATACAAGTGCCCTAACAGTGGCGGTGGTGGGCGGTGTGCAATCGCGGAAAATCGAAGGGTTATGATGCCTCTAAGGGCAATCCTTTTTGGGGGCGCTTTGGAGAGAGAAAGAAGGGAAAAAATGGTTCCCCGGTTTGTTCCCGGCTAGATGGATAGTATCATACGAAGCTGGGGTTCTTGTAGTGGAGTGTATGATAGAGGTATTATTACCTGTGACATTTTTTCTTTTCTCACTCGCTCACCTTCTGTGGATTGTTTCCTTTCCTCCATGATTGACCACGGCACTGTATCATATCATACCGCTCTCCAGATTCACCCGACGTGAATAATACCTCCCGTACCACCTCTCCGCACTGCGAGAAGCTGTTCTAGACAGGTCCGAATAATCCAACACAAACCTCCACCAAAACCACCCACTTCCGGAAAGCTACCGGTGAGCAGTGGTGAGATGAACTGCTTCCCCCACCCCGAACAGCAGCTGTTCGAATCAATGCCCCGTTCACTCGAATTAAAAAAAAAAAGCATCTTATCATACGGCGGTTTTGGGATTTAATGGCGGGGGATTCGTCGGTGGATGCGATTTATTCTTGCTTTTTCTCGCGGGTTAGAAGAACGCTTTAACAGTGTTTTTCACTTTTATGGCGTTATTTCTGGGCGAATAGGCTGGAGGGGGATATTCTATGCCCGAGTGATAATATGTGCGTTTGTTTCATTGTTTTGAGCGGTGGCGGGCTCCTGAGTCGGCTATGTTTTGTGAATTCTGGGGTGATATGTGTGCAGAGGCTGTTTGTTTGTTATGATATATGCATTTCATGGGAGCGAATTGAGTTGCTCTCTCTTTTTTTTTACCTGTTATTTGTTAGTAGGGATGAATTCGAGAGCTTGAGGTCGAGATTATTCATAGTAGACCCGTCAAAAAAAAACAAAAAAACACCCACGTATTCGCTGGCATTGCTGCTACTTGCAAATTTCCGCTCATATGTACGGATAGACGGAGAGTACTTTGGTGGAGTACGTGAATGTCTGTTCCGATGAATATGGGTTTGCAATAACTTCTAAAGCGGTGGTAATCTATAAGTCAGGCTAACCACGAACGGAAATGAGAACAACAATCCGACGCGGGGGCTGTAGGGTCACTCACCTCACAGACCAGATATGAATCCGGCAGACCACGACATGGGATCGCTTTACCATGAACAGTACTCCGCCAAAATCCGATCCGTTGTTCACTGTGTCTACCCGTAAGTTGCGGGAAGACATTTGCCCAATTGTCCTTTGTCGTGCGACTCCTCTTGAAGTGGCCAGGTTGTTAGTTATAGAGTAGTTGGGTGGCGTACATACCAGTATCTACCAGAGGTTTGTTAAAGAATTTTGCTTTCTCTGGGAAGCTTGGAGGATGAGATGGAGCAATGTGATCAAGATTTTATTTTTACCATATTGTAGTAATAGGACTGTATGGTGCTGCGTGCATCTTCCCGTATTTTAACAAGTATATAAATTATATAAGAATAAAAAAAAGATTTCACGATTTTGTTTATTAAGTGTTAAAAATAAAATTTAATTAATGTACTACATTAACTATATACCCCCCCCTCCTTTTTTTTTCTTCTTTCTCTAGTAATTCCCCCTCTTATTATTTTTAATATTAAGTCATCTACTATTGCTTAAAGTCAGTTACAGTCTAAGACTCACGAATATATAAGTAACTGATAAATTGAGTGTATACATACCTAATATGACAGAATGACAGGATAAAAAGAAGATGAGGAAGATAGGTGGGGGGAGAGGGGGGAGAGAAGAAGAAAGACAGGAGCAGCCTAAGAGGAAGTAAGTATTATGACTTTCTAGTTAAATATATATATGAGAAAGCTTAAGGCTGCCACAAACCAACCTAACTTCAATAAAAATAAAAACTGTAGAGAGAAGAAATTGTTAGATCTAAAGCTAGATAAAATCTTAAAAGAGGAAACCTGGGGATAGAAGAACATACTTAATAGAGAAAACCATATCAACAAATATATTAACTTTCTTATTGTTAATATAAATGTATTTTCTCTGTAATAATCAGGTATTAGTTTGTAAGAATATAAGTAAGATGAGAATTATCATCCTTACCTTTTTTTCTGCAATAGCAGAATTGAAAAAAATGGAAATATTACCACTCCCCCTCCTCCTATTTCACAGCAGTGGTTAGCGCTTCTGAACTGTTAAGATAACTGAGTAGTGTGTCCTCATACTCTTTTACCCTTCTGCAGCAGCATTTACTGCTGCAGAATTATTAGGGGAGGGGGGTAAGGGTGAGGAGTTCTGCTACCCTCAACCCTGTAGCAGTAACCAATGCAGAGTGTTCATGAAAGTAGAGTTAGCAACTCTACACCCCCAGACTGCAGCAGTTATTACTGCAGCAGAATTGTTAGGATTGGAGGGGTGTTAAATATTCTGCTTCTATCATGTAGCAGAAACTACTGCAGGGTTGCTGGAATAGGAGGTAAGCAATACCCCCCCCCATACCGCAGAAGTGATTACTGCTGTAGAATTGTTAGTATGGGAGGGAGGTTAGGTGTTCTGCTACCTCCTATCTTGTAGCAGAAACCACCACAGAATTACCAGGATAGGGGGTGTGCAATACCACTCCCCCCATACTGCAAAAGTAATTACTGCTGCAGAATTATTGGGATGGGAGGAGGAGTAAGGCATTCTGCTACCTCCTATCCTGCAGCAGTAACTACTGCAGAATTATTAGGATAGAAGGATGAGGGGTTCTGCTACCCTCTATACTGCAGTAGTAACTGCTGTGGAATTATTAGGATATGGGGGGGTAGACATTTCAGTCTTCATGTTCCCCCATTCCCTATCCATTCTACCCATAAATTGGGTATCCCCTATAGTTAGGGATGCACAGCCAGAAACTACTCCATCCTCTCTCATCAGCCTCTATAATTCCCTAGATACCGGGATTTGACTTACTGGCTATCTTATTGTTGCACCAATAAGATAAAAATGGGGGCAGCAGAGGTGGTTAGGGGAGCAAGAGAGGGGAAAAAAAGGGAGCGAGAAGACTGAATATCGGTAGCTCTCATGGCAAGGGCGGGTTGGTAGGTGGATTCACCATACAGGCGGCGTGCCTGATATGGGCGCAGTTGCAAGCGTGGACCGTGTTGTAAATATTGGATGCAAGAGCGAAGAGAAGTAAGGGTGGGAGATGTTTCTTTTATGCTTGTATTAGTTCTGTGGAGGGCTTTCGATTATTTGCCCGAAATATACTCGAAACGTAGTCACTTTGGTTGAGCTTTACGGGCCAAACCCGTAATTCTACTATGTGGAGTAATACTGCTATCGGGTTGTGGTAATATAGGTACTATGTGGTTGGGATCATGCGGGTATCGGGTTCATCCAATATTATAATAGGGTCATCGGTTCAACCGACATTTTATCTTCGGAACTGAACGGGATCAGTATGAAGTTGAACTTTCTAGATTTCTCTGATCGAATATTTGGTGGTCTACCAACACTGGGAGTATGGGAGATAGTCTGACTATTTATAAACTTATCGGCTACTTTCTTCCAGAAGTATCTCCCACACACGCCTATTCGCTTGGGAACTGGAAGGAACATATTATGAACAAAGAATAAGAACAGGGACAACTACATAAAGGGGAAGGGAGTCACAGTAACCTCTATTAGTCCTAGCTCGGCTTCCGACGGAAATGGAGATAAAGGAGGCCAACGCAGCTCTAGGGAACATAAAGGATTTCGAAATCATATGGCAGTCCGACGCGCAGTCCGAGTGATAATCCATGGGCGTATGGCAGCTGCCAAAGAAGGCGTTGCGTTGGACAGCCCCTGGGATCCGCCCCCACGATTTGCCAACACTGACCTCTCGAACGGGATCGAAATAATTCAAATCTTAGCGTAGCCGATGCGAGGCCGGCCACAGAAAGCTCTCTAGGTCTGGTATTTGGTTTTCCGTCAGCGAATGATATGCTCAATATATCATAACGCGCTACCAGCGGCCCTGACTTGTTCTCAGAGTACGAGTACTTGTACTACGGTACTCGAGTAGAAGGAGTGCCGATATGGAGTGCCGATATGGGATAGGATGAGAAGGGGAGACTAACCTATTGCGTTCGAACTGCTGTGGTCTGTCGCACTGGGTCGTGGGCCGTCAGGGCAAACGCTGTGCTCTATCGCGCTCGACACATCCGGTCGGTATCTTAGTTTTTTCCTCCTCTCGCCTCTTCTGTGGTCCAGTTGAAAAAAGTATCCAAGATTGATATCATAGCTTCCAGACTGCTCCTAGCAAAAGGCTAGGATTGTTTGCCAATTCATCTGTCGGAGCGTCCCTGCAAAGCCTCTAATACCAATAAACGGAATCCGCGTTTGTCCAGATTTTTGGTTTTGACGTTTTTTTTTCTTTTTTTCCCAACCAAATTCCTTTTTTCGGCTCAGCACACTTTGGGTTAGGCAAAAAGCCTCTCTCTCCAGCCACAATGGGTAACAATAGGGGACTGATCTACGTCATCGCGCGGGTGTGATGAGAGTGATGCGAAGTTTTCCGAATTCTTGCGATTCTTCCAAATAGCTGGCCATCCCCACTTCCCCTCCCCTCACTTACTCGAGTAGAGTGCGGTACAGTACTCGCACTGTACTTGTACTATGCACACCACAGGTATTCGCCTCGTTGCTTTTTTTGATCCTCGAGAACTTTGGCTGTTTCTATTCCCATAGGGTGGGTCACACTGTAAGGTCACAAGAGAGCCAATTCCTGCGATCATGTAGAATATAATGGTTGCGATTGAGATGGTTAGATTCGCTGGTATTAAATCACACCATAGGCACCACACTGGTTGGTCGTTGTTCTGCGCTGCTTTCGCTACACCACCTTGGGCTTAGAGAGTCTGGACCGAAGAAGGGGAAGAAGAAAAAGCCCGAGCAAGCGTGGAGATGCCGTGCGCCTGGATTCCCCTCTGCAGACATCTGTCATATATCCGATCAGTGGACAAAATCTCGATCCTTTGCCTGATGCTTCTCGTCTTTGCCTGATGCCCAAAGTTTGTTGCGCAGGGGGTTTCGCCTTTCTGTTCCGTCTCACCAACTCCCCCCTCCTTGTTCCTCCCGACCCATCCGTGCATGTCTGGCGGGAGGGAGGGAGGATTCGAAGGAACGAAGTCGACAAATTGTTAATTCGCCGCTGATCTGCCGTGTTGGCGAATCTAATATGCCAATGAATACGATCCATCTTGCTCCCAGATGGTCGAGCAAACTCTTCCGCCAGCATGAGAGTCGTAGTACGGGTACAGTAGACACCTCTCTCTCTCTACTCCAGCGGCCTGCAGGGTACTGTACGGTACTAGCAGCTTGATCATTTGTTGCGTCGGGGAAGCGTCGGGACTAGTCTAACGACAGGCTCCGTTGATAGGAATCAATTCCCAGAATCCTTAACTTGACGCAAATCAGATGGATGACCTGCTGCCTCCGGTCTAGTAGAAAAGCAATGATAATCTAAATTCCATTACTGTAAGTTACTTGTACGATACAATTCCCTGTCGAGAAGGTTCCTATTATCTCACTGTAGACTATGGCTGCCCTGGTGGAAGACAGTACCCAAGTACTGTACAGTACTGTACAAGTACACACTGCTGGCATGATAACTATCGCCCCCACGATTACCATCGTCTACAGCCTTTGATCGAGTACTCTACTGCATCAACTTTGCAATTCGCCGAGCCACAGAGAAAGATGGATGCTAAGGGCTATCGGCAACGGAGAGGGTAAAATTTAAGGGAATTTTCACTTGCGCAAACAAGGGCAGGTATATTATACTGTGAAAAGGAGAAGAAAGAATAGGGAATTGAGGAGGGGAAAAAAATCATCGCGATGGGCGTGGGCCGAGTGCCACCAATAATCCTGGAACACTTTCTCTACTCGAGTTCTGTAGTACAGTACAAGTGCTGTACTGTACCAGTCAGTACTCGAGCACTTAAGTATGATACGGTCCTCTGATGAGCCCGGGAGAGAAATCCGGCGAGGGGAGCTTTATGCGAGTACAAGTGTACTTGTACTCGTACTGGTAATTATCCTCCTTCTAGTTAGACCAATGTTGGCTATCGGTACCCGCCCTGTAGGTTCCCTTTTTTTTCTTTTTCTTTTGGCCTCATCCCCCCCCAGAGGGTTTTACTTCTAATACGAGTAGACAGTGAATGGTGTTGATCTCTGCGGGCAAATTGCAGTGCCGCATCTAAAATACTCTCGGCTCAGGTTATCGCACCCTCACATATCATACAAGGAACCTTTTTTTCATCTATTGCCTTGAGTTCACTGTTCACTGTTCAATGTTCACTTGGTTATTCATTCACCCCCCCTGAAGAAGAAGAAAAAAAAAGGGAAGTGTGGGACAATTATCGCGCCTACGGTAGGCTAGCCTAAATCACAGCTATCGGTGGTTGCTTGGGTGTGTCCCCACCTATCCCGCTGCCCCTACGAGTACTCGTACTATACTCAATACCTCTCTCCTCAACCCACAACGCTGCATTTCATCTCAGTCCTTTCACTCCTCGCCTTCACCTTTCCCCAATTTCCCTTTTTTTCACTTGAGAGGATTAAGGTTTCTCGTCCTATACCACCGCACAATCTCTCCCCTCCGGATACCCCCCTCTAGCTGCCGAGGAGGAAGAGGACCTTATCGCTCCTCCGAAGACAGCTCGGGCATCCTTACCCTTTCGCCACACGTACGATACATTAGGTGCCTCGCACCGGTGTTGATCATTTGATACTTTTATTTTGGCTCCCTTGTAAACTAACTTCCCTGGAGCTATTAGACGATATTGTCGACCTTTTCGCTGCCACGTGGAATCCAAGGACCGAATCGCGCACACCCCGATCGTTGGATTTGGTATTTACTAGGGATTCAGGGTTTGCGAATTTGCAGCTAAAGCAGCTGGTCTTGGATCCTTCTCCCCGGGCCCTCCATAGAACCGAAGACCGATATTCCAGGAGCGGGGAACAGGAACAAGGAGGGGGGACTTTGAGAGTGAGAATGCTCGGATAAACCATATAGTCACCGACACCTGGAGAATTACCCATCACTTTTGTCTCCCTTAAACCGAGGGGAATAGCGTCATTTTATACCGGAACGGCGCACACCATAGATTCTGCGTCTTAACCGAGACATTCGAGGGGATAGAGGGGGGAGAGGAAACAAGGGGTGTCGTCCGATACGCTGGAGACATGTCCACGGGTTCCGGTTCTTCTAGGGACTCTCGTCATGGAAGTTCTCTTTATTCTTCGCAAGTGGCGGTTGGTGTCCTTTCGAATTCCCCACGTATCAATAGGGTCTCCACAATCCCCCCGCAGCAGACGCCAACGCCTACGCAAGCATCGGTATCCGTACCACCTCTTATAGGCCCCGCAAGTTTCATGGGGCCAAGCATTGATCCTACTTCGTCTTTACTTGTTTCTCAACTCCTGGTCGGGAGTGCGTCAAGCGTGGTGGACCCTGGTGCTGCGGCTACCCCGTTCGGGATGATTGTTGTTGGTGATGGGACTGTGCAGAACGGGATTGTGAAAAAGGGAGACGAGGAGGCAGCAGCTACCGGAAAGGATGGCATCATAGCACTTGAAGAGACCCATGAGCCGAGGGATGTAGGTGAGATTATGGAAAGTGGTGGAATGGCATTCCCGACGGTTCCAGGCTATGAGGATTTGCGACCGGTTTACTCCATTGTAGGTTTCTCTCTGCAATTTTGCAATAAATTCTACTTTCGGACTTGAGTTTATCGATGTTTCTCTACTTTCCTCTGCCTTGATGGCTGTGGCTCGGTATTGGCTTCTAGCGGCTAACGAAAGGTTGTGCTGTCGCCCAGAATCATATTCAAGTCTTTAGAGCAAGATCGGTATCGACGGGTGCTCCGATAGTATTGAAGCTCTGCACTGTAAACCATCTTGACACGCTCGCTCGCCTCCGCCATGAGTGGAAGTTACTTTCAGAGACAAACGTTGGCTCGCCCCATGCCTCCGCCCACTCCCCATCCACCGCGTCTGCGGGGGCAACTCCAAATACTACTAATTCCGGGTTGAACTCGCAGCTTTCGACATCTGCCTCGCTAGCCTCTCTACCCGGCGTGCTTCGAGCATTCGCTTGGGAATATCTTCCTGATGGTGGCATGACATTGATATACAATGACGAACCAATTCATACGACGGTTAGGGAAATGTTTTTGCCGGACACTTTGCCCCTGTATATTGGCACCTCCGGCCAGGCCATGCCAGTGTCTCCACGCCCCGTTGTTGCCAAGCCAAGGACTCAGTCGGATTTGATCAAGATATTGTCGGTATTTTCGGATGTTGTACACATACTCGCAGTTGCACATCAAGCCGGGATAACGCATAATAATGTGAATACACACTCAATAATCGTCACAAAAAAACCCAAGACCACGGGGGCGGGCGTGCCGGTGCTTGGGAAACTAGGGGGATGGCATTTGGCATCGCGCTTAGAGCGGGAGGATCCTGGGAGAGCTGAAGGCACAATGTTGCGCGGATTAAATCCGGCTCCTTTACAATATATTGCGCCAGAGTGCACTGGCAGAATGAATAGATCTGTTGATTACCGAGCAGACTTCTATTCCCTCGGGGTAGCGCTATATGAGCTTATTGTGGGGTTCTTGCCATTTCGGAGTGCCGATCCACTGGAATTGATCCATCAGCACATTGCCCAGCAACCAGTGCCGCCCACCGATGTGAACGCTTCTATTCCTACAGCGGTATCGGCTGTGGTGATGAAACTTTTGGCGAAGAATGCGGAAGACAGATATCAGATCGCTTCCGGGCTGAAAGCGGACATTGATATGCTTATCCGGAGGATGACGGAGGGTCGGAGTTTGGAAGGTATGAGGGTCGGGGAATTGGATACAACCAGTCAATTTGTGATCACCGAGAAGCTGTATGGGAGGGAGGAGGCAGTATCGATGCTGAAGGGGGCCTATGAGAAATGTTTGAACCAAGGGGGATGCAGCATGGTGATGGTTAGGGGAGGATCTGGTGTGGGAAAATCTCGGCTTGTCAACGAAATCCAGCGACCAGTGGCGGAAAACAGAGGATATTTCACATCCGGGAAATTTGATCAATATAAAAGGGGTTTTAGCTTTTTCACCTTGGTTCAAACGCTTCAGGATCTCGTGCGCCAGGTGCTTTCTGAATCTATACAGAGTCTCTCTCGGTGGCGGACGGAAACAATAAGAGCTCTGGATGGAGATGCTGCCGTATTGGTGGATGTTATCCCAGAGCTGAAGCTGCTTCTAGGTTCTGATTACAAATATGAGCCCTTAGCAAACCTAGGACCAGTTGAGAGGGAGAACAGGTTTCGGGAAGTGATTGGCCGATTCCTAGCAGTCTTTGGGAGAAGAGGATTAGTGGTCTTCTTGGACGATCTTCAGTGGTGCTCTCAGAGCGAGTTGAACTTTATCTCTGGAATTGCAGCTGAAGCCAATAGAAAGATGCGAGAATGGAGATCGGGAGCAGTGAGCGTAGGCGACACCGGGGTTGTCGGTAAATGGGGTATCAAGCAAAGTAGGAAGCTTGGGGCTTGGGGTTTGAATTCCTGCCTCCATTACTCTTTACTTGGGATTGCTTTGTTCGATTTTTGTTATTTAGGGATATACTTGATTAGATGTGCTGACAACGGTCCCACGGTTGTTGAACATACAGGTTTATTGATTATCGGCACTTATAGGGATAGTGAAATTGACCAAGATCACCCTCTACCACCAATGCTTGAATACGTCCAGACCAGAGCCGGCGTAGACGTAGTGGACATTGAGCTTGGCCCTTTAGACCAGGATTCCGTGAGAAAGATAATTGGTGACACGCTTCACCGGGATCCCGATTATGGTCGATTGAAAGAGGACGCTGAAATGCAGACCCTGACTGAACTGGTGTATGCGAAGACATGCGGTAATGCATTTTTTGTGATGCAATTATTGAAAAGCTTACATCGGGGCGGCCACATTGTATTCGATTTCGGAGCCAAAGGTGGTGGGCAATGGAGATTCAACCTGACCAGCATTGAGGCCGATGACTTGCCTCCTACCGTGGTGGATTTACTCGTGAAGCAGATGCTCAAGCTCAACGGTCCTACGCGGACCGCGATGATGCTTGCAGCGTGCATCGGGACCGATAATGTGGGCCTGCAGTCCTTGGCCGTAGCTGCAGGGAAGAAACCGGAGGAGATGGCGAGTGATTTATGGGGGGGGTTGGATGCCGGTTTACTGCTCCCTACAAGCGGGAATTACAAAATACCGCTTGCCCTTGACGAGGACTCATCCATGCTTGGAGGTTGCGGTAGTAATACCATAATATCGAATCTGCCAAGTGGCGACTCATACTTTCCAGCGCGATTCTCGCCTTCGCCTTCGGATCAGGAAGAAGCGGTCACCTATAGGTTTTTACACGATAGGGTTCAGCAGGCGGCCTATTCCTTAATCCCCAAGAATGAGAGGGCGGGGGTTCACAGGATGATTGGGACGAGGCTGTTAAAGAAGGTTCCGGAGGAGGATTTAGACGGCATGCTATACGAAATTGTCAACCAACTAAACCACTGGCTATCACCACTAGAGAAGGACGAACGACACACCCTTATGGAACTAAATCTGCGAGCTGGTAAGACAGCGATCGCGGCGACGGCCTTTGACGCGGCCCTCTTGTATTTCCTGACCGCCAAGCAATTGCTGGATGATCACGAGAAGGAGGAGGAAGTCGTGGGAGCCACCACAGCTAGATTGAGGAAAAGGTTTAGTATGGGGTGGGAAGCCAGGCCAGGGGTGGCGCCCGATCGAGAGCCTGATGCGGAGGACGTTGGATTGGAAATCAATTTATCCTTGATTGAGGGATACTTCGCTCATCAGAAATATGTGGAATCGATCAATCTCGCCGATGCGGTTCTTCCGAAATGCATTAAACCCCGAGACAAGATAAGGTGTTTGGTTCACAAGATGAGCTGCCTTCTTGTCCAGGGGAAACTAAACGAGACGATTGAGACTGGGCTTTTGGGATTGGGCGTTCTGAGTTTGGAGGTTCCCCTCGATGATGCGAAGGCAAAATCGCACGCCGACATGATGAGACCTAGGATTTTGATGGACGTCGCGCAGATCAAAGCTCTCGAGAAGATGCACCGATTAAAAGATGAGAATCTGATATTGCTTCAAGAACTGATTTCTAGTTTGCTATTGCCGATATACATGAGCAGGCCAGCCTTACTGGAGGCGGTATGCTTCACGAGTGTGGCCATCAGTCTGGAGTTTGGGATATCTACTGCCGGAGCCTACCCTATGCTAATGACCGGTGTTATACTCTCTGCCGAGGGAACGCAAGAAGCCCACCTCAAAAGTTATGCCTACGGCAGACTAGCCATAAACCTCATTGAGAAGGATACTCTCATGTGTCCTGCGGCGCCTGCAATCTACGAGGTCTACGCCGGTCACATTGGAATCTTTCATTGCAGCATGAACGAGGTTCTTAAGTCATTGCACCAAGCTGTTACCGCAGGTGTAGCATTGTTCAATGTGGATTACACTGTTTTCGCGATGTAAGATATCACCTTCTAGTTCCGAAACCTGGGCTGACTCGGATAGGGCCGAGATCCCATCTTTTGGGATGTTCGGCGGCGAGAACTTGAGTGCAGTCCACTCCAAAATGGTTGCTACGAAACCTAGCATACGGAAATTCAAACAACTAACCGGGATGTGGTGGTTGAGTTTTCCTCTCCAATTTCTCCTTAATCTCCGAGGCCTCGGCAACCCGGATCCGATATGCTTCGAAGGAGAAGAACTGGGAGATTCCAAAGCTTTGTCTAAGCTTCTTAGCAGCGAGAGCATGACTCATATATATCTCTACCATATGTACCGTTTGATCATAGCGGTAATATACGGCCGCTACGATATTGCGGCAGACCTCGCAACGCACTACTGTGAGCCCATGAGCGGGGGGGTTACTGGGACCTTTTACGCTTCGCTTACGTATTTCTATTCGTCAATCGCATTCCTGCACCTATATGACACAATATCGGACGAGCAAAAGGACCTTCTTGATCGGAATATCAAGCAAATTCAAATTTGGAGCACCACCGCCAAAGGTACCTTTTTGCACAAGAGCGTGTTCTTGGAGGCCGAGTTTACAAGAGTCAAGAAACCTAGTCAGCAGCTAGAGATATTAGACAAATACGATCACGCGATTTCACTAGCTACGAGCAGTGGGTTTGTACATGATGCCGCATTTATTAGTGAGAGGTGTGGTTCCTGGTTGCGAGCGTTCTCGAAGAGGCGGGCAGCGCCATACATCAGGGAAGCGGTTCGGGGGTATACTGCCTGGGGCGCGACAAATAAAGCCATGGAATTAAGGAAAGGGTCCGCAGAGGATCTCGCAACCAAGGGTATACACAAATATGACTATGATACGTTTTGGGATGGCGCATGTGACACTGACAACTACCGTTCAGGACATGTTGAGAGTCGGCCGGCCATGTTAAGGGTCGATAGTGATTCGATGATGGCGACTGCATCGATTAATAATGCTATGATGAACCTCTCGCCAAGACTCAGCCCTCGGTCTTCTAGAATGTATGGGAACGACTATGGGTTTGATCACCCACCCCCGCAAAACAACTCCCCATCACTAGCATCCTCCAAGGACCCATTCGCGCCAGACCCACATGATGATGACGAGACATCTCACGCATCTTCTCGTAGGGAGAACGAACCATCATCTTTGGGGTCCGAATTGGACTTCCGGACTGTTTTGAAGGCGTCACTGGTCATCTCAGAGGGGATGCATCTCGAGGAGGTTATTGTGAAACTCATGAAGAGTGTCTTGCAAACCGCTGGAGCAGATTATGGAGTCCTCATTCTCAAGGAGGACGGAAACCTTCACGTTGAAACTGTTGGCTTGCTCGACCAGGTATCCATTCTAGAGCACGAACCTTTGAACACGCGCGCCGATTTAGTTCCGGTCTCAATAGTCAACATCGTCGCAAGCCTCGGAGAGCAAATTTTGAAGGATAGTGATGATCCTAAATTTGACGCAACCTATGGGCGAGATAGCTACTTCCAGAACCGAAGGGCAAAGAGCGTTCTCTGCATGCCAATACAGAACCAACTAAAACCCATGGGCGTCCTATACTTGGAAAACAAGTTTGTTAACCATGCATTCACAAGGCAGAGGCAGGAATTACTGAACGTGCTCTGCACCCAGGCTGCAGTGACAATCGATAAAGCACGTTTGTATCGACAGATGGAGCTGGCGAAAAAGGCGGCTGAAGAAGCCACAGCAGAAAAATCTAGTTTTCTCGCGAATATGTCCCACGAAATTCGTAGGTTTACCTAGCACCCTTGTTTCGAATGAATATTAATGGTCATAGGAACGCCATTCAATGCCCTTCTCTCATGCTCAATCTTTCTACTAGATACAGGCTTGTCAGAACAGCAAAGAGAATATGTAGAGACAATTCGAAACTCTGCGGTCCTCACACTCCAGATCATTGACGGTATCCTTGATTTTTCGAAGATTGAGCACGGCGCTATCGACTTGCAAGTGTCACCCTTTTCTCTCAGAGACTGTATCGAAAGCGCTTTGCAGCTTGTTGCCGAGCCAGCCGCAACAAAGGACCTGGAGTTAGCTTTCCGTAATAAATGCTCCAACGTCGATACCGTCCATGGGGATATTACTCGATTCCGGCAGTGTGTAATCAACTTGATTGGTAACGCCGTCAAGTTCACACAAGAAGGTCACATACTCGTTACGACCGAAGCTAAAAAATTGCCTAATAGTGAGCTGTGGAGTGTGGAAGTCGCTGTGCAAGATACTGGAATTGGTATCCCTGATAATGCACGCGATCGGCTGTTCAGGGCATTTTCTCAAGTGGATACTTCAACGCGTCGTACCTATGGTGGGACCGGGTTGGGTCTAGCGATTTCTAGGAAGTTGGCCGAGATGATGGGAGGCGATATCTGGTAGGACTTTCTAAGCTTCGATGTGGGAACCTAGGCTCCAGCGAGACTGACCGGGGATCAACAGGTTCGAAAGCGAAAAAGGCGTCGGATCAACATTCCATTTGACTATCACGGCTGAGGTCACCGGAAGAACTTGGTGTGCCGACAAAAGATTAATTGGGAGAAAAGCGATTGTTGCTGACACCCACTCATTGTCGTCCAATATCCTAGCAGACGAATTGGAGGTGGAAGGGTTGACAGTAACCCGTACCAATACGGCCGAGGCTACATTGAAGCAACTTCACGACCACGGAATCGGATACTACGAGTTTGCACTTATCGATTTATCTGTGGACAAAACGTGCCTCCTCGCGGACCAAGTGAACAAATTCGACCCCAGGATCCGGGTGATTGTGATGTCTCGGTTCGGAGTCAACCTTCCTTCAATTGCTCAGGCGTACAACATTGCACTGAGCTTTGTCAGGCCCGCGCCGAGGAGTAGGTATGTACAAGCTATTCACGACGTTATGAACCCGAACAAGAAAAAACACATTATCCCTTCCAAGAATCAAGAGATGGAATTGCTCCGGTCCCTCGCCCGTCGACATCCACTGAATATCCTACTAGCGGAGGATAATCTGGTAAACACGAGGGTTGCACTTCAGCATCTGAAGAGGATGGGTTACTCAGCAAAGCACGCGAAGGATGGCATAGAGGTCCTTGAGATGTGTGAAGAGGCGGCAGAAAGGGGCGATATGTTTGACGTGAGCCAATCCACCCGCGGCCTATTTTGAACTAACTACTAATATCTGCAGGTAATCTTGATGGATATACAAATGCCCCGGGCAGACGGTATAGAAACGAGTCTAGAACTGCGTAGGAGATATGTTGATGAGGAAAGGCCGACGATAATCGCTCTGACAGCGAACGCGACTGCGAATGATCGGGAGAGATGTCAGCAGGCGGGAATGTCTAGCCATATTGCGAAGCCGATACTTCCGAATGATCTTGCGACTGCTTTGATGTCTACCTCCCCACTGCAACTGTCGGCGGTGAAACGTCAGGATTGACCACCCGTTTCCGCTCCGACCCTGATAGTACCTACTGCTCTTGCAGGCGTTCTTGTTCTCACCTACTTTGTTTTTATATACTAGAGGGGTTTCCCCTTCTTTTCATCCTCTACCTATCCGATATTCTCGAACTTTACCTTCTCATCTTCAACCCATCCCTCACCTACCAATACTGCCGCTGCGCTCGCTCGCCCTTAGAAAAACATGGGGCAGTTCATGTGCGACAACTTTACTTCTCCCTTCCTCCCTTCGGCCTACTTCGTTTCGTACTATACATATTTTTTACTCCTTCCTTGTGATACATCTTTGCTTTTGGATCAGCTTTACCTAACTTGAGGATTTTTTTTTTTTTTTTGCTGTTGTCGGGAGTTTTTTTTCCTCTATATTTATTTTATTTTTATATTACCCCATGCTGCGTGGTTGCATTTTTGGCGTCGGGGGGGTACGGAAGACATGTATGTACTAGAGGGATTTCGGAGAATTTAATTCGCTTAATTCTACTACCGTATAGCTTGTTGCAACGGCAACCCATCATGGTTTGGGGTTCACATTTGTACTCGAGCAGTGGTCCGCTGCAAAGTTTCAGGTCCTATTATGGAGCCAATGTCCAGGCCTTATCTGCTCTCATGTTCCGGTATTCGGGCGTGAAATTACGGAGTAAAACTTGGTATTGAGGCGCACGAACTTCTGTGACACGCGCAATACCGCAGCTAGAGAGTTAAAAGGAACCGCCCGAGCATCGATACGATGCTGGCTAGTTCCAACAATAACCTGGGCATGAAATCGCCCTGTTATCAAGACATTCCGCCCAATGCTGAATAATGGCGCCAGGACGCCCAATTTAGCCATTATTACTACATAAGCAATCCGAAGTGCTTATTGATCGGATATTATCGGTGAGGAGGTTTACTCGTAGGGGTTTCAGGAGTAGTTTTTCGTTCTTGAACTGTATGATATATAGGAAGGCAGCTTTGGTTCCCGTTAAATCCCCCGGGCTCTTCAAATACTTATGACCGCGCGAGCGGTTTATGTTGTGCTCTTGTTGTTTTGTTTTGGCATTGTTTTTATGGCTTATGGTGTCTTTAGCAAGGGATATCGTACTTTTTATTATACGAAAATAAAAATAAAAACCCAGCGCTATCGCGGTGCTTGGCTGGCCGGACCGGTGAGGCCCCATACCCGCGATCTCGAGTCGTTGGTGTAAGAAGTATTGGGTTGCGGGTATAGGGTAGTGACCCTATGGAGCAGCACACCGGGGAGGGGGTTGGACGGAAACCGGACAAAATGGAGCATGTTTTGGTAAAGGAACTGGAGGCCTTAACTTGATTTTGGTTGTGGAATCGTTTTTTCTTTCTTCTTCTAGACTGAGTGGGAGGGCTTACGGTGTTTATGGGTATTTGTGCTATCGAGATACTCTCGCTGTGAGCCTAATCAGAGAAAAGGCGACTTTACGGGACGGGAGGGGTATCATAATAATAATATTATTATACTCATAGTACTCGTACAGGAGATGAAATCGAGTGATGCATGATGGAGCGGTTCAGCTGGGCAAGCGACCACCACGTTTTCAACAACCCCACCATCCACCCCACTACACCACACCGCACCAAACGAACCAACCAACCACACAACAATAATCAACCACCAACACCAACCAACCCCCACCCCTCCGACCAAACGGAAAACAAAAACAAAAACAAAAAAGGAGAGAGAGAGAGAGAGAGGGAAAATAATGCGCCAACAAACCATCATCAAGGACGGCCGTTTCGTGACAGGCTGGCATTTTGATTCCCGCGACGACTTTCTCCAAAATGGGCCCCGCCTCCCCTCGTCGATGCGCGAGGAATACGAATCACAATTCCCACCTCCCACCTCATCCCCACCGTCATCCCCCTCATCCCCCTCCACCCCTCCTCCGCCACCGCCGACCTCGCAGCCGGTGCTGATCCTGCGCGCCCCGCAGTCCGGAAGACTATACCACATCTGCCCGCCCACGCACCCACAGATGCTTCGCAAGCAGTGGGCCGCCATGCTCCAGCGACGGAAGATCTTCCTTCGCGGGGAGGCGTGGAAGGGCGTGACTCTGGGCGAGCTCGCGGCCATTTGCGCGAGGAGGGTTGGCGCTCTTGAGGGGTGGACTAGGCTGGGTGTCGGGGTGGGGGATATCTCTTTGGGGTTTTGTGGGGTGAAGGTTTGTTTTCTTTTTTTTCCTTTTTGTTTCTCTTCCGCGCTGGGCTGACAGGTGGGGGGTATGTAGGTTGGCAGGGAGATCACCATTGGTGAATTAATTGACTTTGCTCGCGTACGCTTGGAAGAGCCTGACGAGGGCGTTTGGGAGTGTCCGGTTTTCCTAGAGGTTGGGATTCACAAGGCTTCTACGACGGTGGCGGGTTGCGGTGATGATGAGAGGAGTCGCAAGAAGAGGAGGAAGGGGGAGGGGGAGGTGGAGGTGGAGGTGGAAGACACAATCCAGCCTTCACTTATCGCTTCTCCTAGCAGTGGGACTATAGCTGGGTATTTGGGATTGGCTCGTGGTGAGAGGCATGGGGGATAATTTCTTTCCCTTCCTTTCCTGCTATTTCTACAAATTATATCCTTTGCTTCTTTCTTTCAGGCTACTCGCTGGGAGTTTGTGTCATATTGGGTATTTGCTATGTTACGTCGGTTGGGGCCTAATGACTTGGACTCGGCTTAAAATCTTTAATGCTTATCGATTACAATTTATGCTGATATCATATGATACATTGTACTCTACCGCTAACTTATCCGTGATTGCTTGTCTGTGGCTTGCCACCACGCGTGCCTTTGGGGGGGGGTTTCCTGAACCCGAAAAGCTTAATTCAGCCGCAAGGTTAGGGTCAATGCAGGGATAGGCTGCCTTTGGTCCATGACTTATTCAGGGCCTTCTCACGCTTGAGCTGAATAGGACGATACTCGGTGGTTTACCGTACTCGTACTGTATTGCTACTTGTACTCGTACTTGAGGTCCACCATTACAATACCGAGACTGAAACCATACTTTTATGAGCCTAGTTTATTATTATTATTATTATTATTATTATTTAAATTACCCGCTAAAAGGTCCCTGAATGGAAAACTCGGGAAAGGACAATGTGATTGTGTGAGCTGGTGGGGTGGGCTATATTATATCTTCCGTATTGGAAAGAAAAAAAGAAAGAAAAAAAAGAATGGAGTAAAAGTCTGGGTACTTTATTTATTCATATATTTATTGTAGGATTCGAGTGAGTTGGCTTTGGCAGTTTGGTCGGAGGCTCTGGCTTACCGGTAGGGGTTCTAATACCGACTCTGATATATACGACTATAACTACTCTGGCGCTCAATAACCATATTCTTGGCCATCATAGTCAATATAATAATAGCGGTATGGTTATCGGATAATCTGACCAGTAAGGTTACACGCGCTATTAAATTATATGATAACCTCTGATTGGCAAATGCCAGATCTCAACGGCTGTCGTCTCCCTCCCACATGTTACTTGTATAGCTTAGCCGGAAGGGTAGCGGGAGAGGCTTGCGAAGGTGGTGAGTTACATGTATGATATAGTGCAAACCCCTGTTATGGTACGGGAAGGATTGCGCGAAATGGAGCGTGGTTTCGCGTGCAAGTCAGAGATGCCCGGTGTCTCCCGGATTCGGCGTATTCTCCGGGTGGGGAGGGCACCGGTATCGTAGGGTCTCCTTGGGGAGGTTATGAGAAGTGCTCTCTTCTCACATTCCGTCTTTCCACCCACATACACCACCAAGCGCAAACATGATCACGGTAATTCCCCTCTCAAACTTCACCTTTCTAAATTACGCCACATCCATACCCCCTGCGCCTCCCACCTCCCTTCCCTTCACCCTATCCACAGAGCCGGTGACGGACCTCTGGCGCAAGCCCCCAAACCTAATCGCCTCCAACCAGCCAACCCTCTACACCCCACTGCGTCTATCAACCTTCGTCAGCGCGACAGCCAGCTTCCGCGCCGACTGGAAAGCGCTGTACGACCAGGCTGGCCTGGTCCTGATCTTTCCGCCCTCCTCCTCCAAGACTTTTTCCACGGGGAACCCTCTCCGGCTAGAATTGCCGGACCATCACCCGCCAGCCTGGATCAAGTCCGGCATCGAGTTCGTCAACGGTGTGCCGAACCGGGGGACGGTTTCCGCACCGTTCGACTCGTGGGCGGACTGGTCGCTTGTGCCGAGCTCTGATGCTGGGCTTTCTATCACTTTTGAGAGGGAGGGCGCGGTAGATGGGGGGGGCCAGTTGGGGAGCAGCTTGCACATATTTCTGGTGGAGGGCGAGCGGGAGGGGGAGAAGAGGAAGACTATGGTTAGGGAGGTCACGTGGGTTTTCGAGGAAGAGCTTGTGAAGTGCGACCCTGTGGTTTGGGTTGGAGTTTATTTGGCCAAGCCTACGAAGGATGGGGATGGGGAGGGGCAGGGGGGGAGGTTGGAGGTAGAGTTTGAGAGGGCGGAGGTTGTTGTTCGGGGGTAGTTTGGATTGACGCGATCGTACGAGCGTTATCAGGGATTTACAGTATATCACATTATAATACAGTAATTATCATATCGAGGGATCGGTTCGGAAGGAAGCTTTAACCCAGAAGAATACAGTCTCGTCCGCACTGCCCCTCCTCGCATGAAATTGCGTTGATGACGCTAGTGAGCGAGCGCTTTTATGATGGGCTACGGCAGTAACGGCCGATACCGGCATCCCGAACCGACCTATGATATAAACTGTTAATGCTAGGTATGATATGGTACAGGTATAGTACTCGTACCTTCCCAGCTAATTTACCACTAAACTCGAATTGCCCCCCCCCCCCGACACCGATATCAAGGTTCGTACTATAGTCATCTTCATGCCATGATCCACCGCAATTTGTACAGCGCAGCCCCCGCAATGATGAGGCGTTTGGGGAATACTGAATATGCTACATATAATAGATCGAATGCCCATCCCATACCAAAGGATTCATCCACCCATCCGTCTTGCCCCCCCCCCCACTGGGGGGGCCATTGACTATGAAAATTAAGCCAAGTTGAATTCACCACCTATCGGGACCAACAGCCAGAAAAAAATTGCTTCGGGAAATAACTGATCGTAGTACTAGTATGCTGCGTGAATGAGAAAAAATCACTTCGAGGGAGGATGGATTACTATCTATTATATCTACCGCACCCAACCCATGACCTCCCCTAGATACTAGCACACGGTATTCTTCTCACGATCGAGTTCCCGGGTGGGAGCTGCGTTTTTATTGGTGGCGATGCGTGGAGAAGGAAGCAATCTCGATCAAGGGTCTCGAGTGAATTAACAGAGCTTAGGTAAGTTACTGTGCATCTCTGTCCCCCCTCACTCGCAGTTTTGCTGAACATGGGTAGGCGTATGCCGTTGTCTGGGGAGGATGTTCTTACCGGAGTCTGTTGTTATGGTCCTCTCTGAAATACCGGTACTGGTCCACGGTATTCTCACTCACCGTATGATATGATGCTTCTGTAAGAACTGTCCCTTCAAGTTAAACCAATTTGCAACCGGGAATACTGACCTGGCCATTTGGGTGATAGTGACCGCGTCTGCGGGTAAACGGCAACCTTGCTTTAAGCAGTTTTCTGTCAAGGTCATGGGCGGAACTGCCGGCCCAGCGTCGGCTTACCGGTGGTTTCGAAGGTTGCAAGTAGCATAATTTTGAATACCGGCTAGCGAGGTCTAGCACAACCTGCAGCTGATCTCTTCTCTGTTGTAAAAAGGTTAAACGTTAATCCCCCCGGAAGCTTTTCTCTTCGAATCCAGGGATCACAGGGCCAGTGAAGATATCCCAGTGGATCATGAGGATTTTTACGGAAGCGAATTGGCTTCGCACAATAAGATATCTCGTGCCGGCACCGGTAATACCAGCGGTCGAGGGCGACATTGCAGTGAGAACTGGAGTAATTGGACCTCACGCTAGGATGTTGGAGTTGCCCGGGGTCGGTCATATTTTTTCCTTTTTCTCACCCAGGGTCGGGGAACAGTCCTCCCTCCCCCTAACACAAAGGGGGAAATCGCAGACATGATTCCTTCCTCTTGTATTCGGGACATGATGCTCGAGAAGGTTGGGGTGATAGTGTCGCCACTTGGGGAAAAGACCAATTAACTCCTTGGGGCCAAAAATTCCATTGGGCAGGTCACCTCATGTGACCGAAGCCATGCTTTTACGAGCCTAGCTTTTGGAAATTGGGGGAAAAAGTAGGCGCTAAAGGTTCCTGGAACTCGGGAATGAATGAAGGCTCATTGTTCGTGTCTATTCAGAACCTCACAGTTGAGCTGAATAGGGTCATTGTACTGTACCACCACTTGAGGAAGAGATTGGTCAATTCCTCAGGACCACAAATTCCATTGGCCGGGTCACAATTGGGTGACCGAAGCCATCCTTTTATCAGACCAATTTCTTGGAAGATGGGAGAATTAAATACGCACTTGGAGCTCCTGAAACTCCTAGGAACGGGTGGAGGAGTAGGCTTTTACGGCATGGTGCAAGCGGCTCAGCCCGACAAGATCCCCCCTCATTTAGCTGGATTTGTTTGTTTAAGATTGCATGTATGATACCTTTTGCTAACCAACGGTTGACTGTGCTGCAGGAACTCGAATGAAAACCGGTTTCCTACGGGGTTCTGGACGTCTTATCTTGGGGTCCAGTTTTTCCTGTGCTTATGGGGGGGCGTTTGGGTTGCCCCATCTGGCTCTGGTCTTTTCCCCGCGTTTTCTCGGCTGTTACAAGTGGTCTCACCTGCAGCGCGACGGCCCGTCCCGCACCTGCTTACTCGTAATTTAACGATACAGGTAGGGTACTACGGTATTGCATATCTCTAACATACAACTTTTTTGCTTTGACCTTGGTGTCATGGGGTAGTGTTCGTGTTCGAAAATGGCATCAATTGCGAGTACTGTACAGTCCTCGAGGAATGCATTATTGGCAAGATTCCCCTGCCGCTTGAGAGTTAGGTTGAGATAAAGCTGGAGCTGAGGCAAGAAGTACCTGAAGACAAGGACCAAATTTACAAAATTTGTACATATCTGAGCGCCAGCACGGTGTCGGGAGCTGTGTCTCTCATCACATGGAACTACACAAGGTGTAACCATAATTTGGCGGCGACTGCCAACAACACTTCTTTTCTTTTTAACCATTTCTGCGGATGCGGAATGGGCAACTTTTGCGTTTGCGGAGACATTGTCTCCTGCCGCCAAGAGGACTCTTCCCGAATCTCACCCCCTAACCTTGGGTAAAGGGGGAGGGGGGAAATCGCCCCGAAGAGAAAACTCCGACTTTCAGTCCTCCGGCGAAACGGATGAAAGGAGAAAAAACATATAATATTCATACAGTCTGTGGTATCATACCAGGAAAGGCAACCCCAACGCCCCAGAGTGTGTGTGAGGCTCAATCATCTCCAGCTCTCACGGGACCGCACCGAAGGTTGCCAAGGTCTGTCATCCAGCCTTAGCGGTGCCCCCTAGTGCGGGTTCTTTTTGGTCACAAAATGTATAATACTCTATCTATCTATCATACCAATTTTTTCTCTCGGTTTTGGGAGTTTAGAGGTGAGGATAATTTGAGTTTGCCATTGCTGGTGGGGGTGGGTCTAGAAGTGGAATACGTTGTGGAATGTTATGATACCTGTCATGATAAATAATTGGCTGATGATTGCACTGTGCTGGCGAGAGTGGCCTTTTTTTTTTTTTCTTGCTCCGGCTGATATTTGCCCTAATAGTTTAAAAACAGGTTTAAAACTTCAATATCTCTACTCCGGACAGGTATCCAAGTTATACAAGGTGCCGGTTCTCATTACCGGTACTTTGTCGGCCCTGGTGTCCTGCCAGGTGGTCTACTCGAGTACACACTCACTCTTCAAAACTTCCCGCACCAACACGCCTGTCGCCCGAACGGTGCCAGCTGGACAGACGGTCAGGTGCGCACTGCTCATCCAATCAGGAGCACGCCGATATATACCCTCCAGCTTGGAAGAATCGACAGCAAAGAGATTAGATAAGAGATGGCTTGGGCGCCCCTATTCAAGCGTTATGTCATAGGTGTTCGTCACCCTCTCGTTAATCCTATAAATCTTCCCATCCACTCCCTCTACAGGCTCCCATTCTTTACACATGCCGCAAAGTCACCTCTCAGTACTGCTAGTAGTTTGAAGAGACCCGCCCCCCCGAAGAATTCAATCCACAAGCACATTTTTCTTCTAGACGCGAGATCAATATGTCGAAAAATATTGTGGCATCTCGGGTAGAGAAGTTGGAAGAGCAGGTGCAGAAGCTGTCTCGAAACGTTGAGACTTTGTTAGCCGAAAACACGATACTCCACCAGAAAAGCAACAAATCGGATGAGTGGATAGTCCTGTTGATATCTGGTTATCGTGAGGCTGTCCAACGTGTGGGGGCTCTGGAGGCACGGGTGGAGACTCTGGAGGGACGGTGTTCCACTCTTGAAGACAGCATCGATCTGGAAACTCTCCAGCTCAACTTACTCAATACAACTGCAACTGCGAGAGAAGAGAAAAGCCTCAACATTGACCAACTTCTTGGTCAAACACTCCAGTCCTGGTCGCCGCAGGATTACGAGCTCACTGGGTTGGCCCAGGGGGAGTTCATGCCAGCAATGAAGGTAAATAGGACCCTATATTTGAGGATTGAAAGTCAAGAGGTAGTTTCTAACACTGAGAATTCTTAGTTTGAATCTCCAATGCCCGATTTCCAGGGTAACACCCTGGAAAATCCTTTGGGGACTGGAATCCCCACACCTCCCAACGATTGGCATCCTAGCCAATCCTATGGCAACCATACTTTCCCCGACATGGGGCAAAACGGTGGAGGGTTCTCTACTGGAGCAGGAGGAAATAGGTCTGTCGCCACCATCCCTACGGGCAGGCAGCGCAAGACCCAAGAGATGCGGGAGTCCGGTCCAAATACCACCCTCTCCTCGAGCAATTCCACTGGCAATGGCATTCAGCTCACGTTCATCAACACATTTTCATGAAAGTATTTGGATGCCTTGGCGCCAAGATTCCACCTTTAGGCGCCGGTTGGAACCGTATGCCCTCGCGCCAAGGCATCTGAATCCTTTATGAATGGTCAAATAGTTGGCATGGGGCACAGACTTTTAGGGATCGTGGAGGATTATGAGATATCAGAATGGTTCTGTATTTTTTGGGAGTGCAGGGGGGGTCACGGTTTGTCAGGTTGGCGCACCTCTTTAGAGTTAATTGAGATCCCTTGAGTTTGGGGAGTTGTCAAATGTTTTTTCTTTTTTTGTGGTAGATATATATCTCTCGGTGCGTCCTTAGCTATAATAGCATAATGGATAGCTCACCTATATTCCACCTTTCTCCCATTTTGGAGTGCTTCATTCATGGTGATCATAGCCCTGCCGCTCGTACCGTATCATTCCAGTATCATACCCGGCCACCCAACCCTCCCTCTCTGCGCATCCATTCAGGGTCACATTCTACCCCTTGCAGATCCCAAGACCCCTTGCAGCCGTGATGGGGAAGAGAACCGGTTTAACTTGAACGCCCAGAAACTGGCCAGCGCAAGGACTTATAATAGGCTTATCCCGACCAGGGGAGGGAGGAATTCTCCAGAGATAAATCATACTTTGTCCATTCCCCTCCCCCCACCCACCTCACCTTTCACGTTGGAAACTCACCCGATATGAGCATTTTTCCTTTCTTCCGATGTCGTCAAGTTGCCGGGTATTTCTGGGGGATCAACCATCTCCCAATGCCAATGTCCCCCCACAAACATAAACTTCACAAACCCGACGACAATATATGGTGCGTGGACAAAATTAACCGTGATTCAACAGAGGAAAATCTTCGGCAATGACAACCACACTCACCCACCAATCCACTATCATAAAAACCAAAAAAAAAATTAAAAGATGTAAATACATAGTAGAAATTAATATTTGGTATACCATCCATCAGCCTTAATAATTTCCTCTATTCTATCCACCATTGATCCAGTTAAAGCATCAAAAACCTTTAGGTCAAGAAGTTCCCAACAATGAGTGATGGCCTCTACTATTGCCTTCTTGACTACATTGACATTACCCTTCATAAGATATAGCTCAGGGTAGTGCTTGTGAAGCTTACCTTTCACCAGAGACCAAATATTTTTCAATTGGATTGAGATCTGGTGAATAGGCAGGAATTTCCATCAGTGTAATTCCCTGTCCTCTGAGCCATCTCCTAAAAGGCAAGTGAGTCTTAACATTGTCAATGATAAAAAATACCTCTTCTTCTCCAGCCTTTTCTCTGATATTCTCTCATATCCCTAGAAAGTTATAATGATCATAAACATCAATAATTGACTTCCCAGTAACTCCACCACTAGCAGAAAAAGGATCAGGAAAAACAGGCAAAAAAAGGACCATGAGTTTGACTATAAAAACAACCAGTCATCATCTGGCTAATCCCTCTCTCCCCTCTCCTAGCCTTAGGTTCAACACAATCCTTATTCCATTTCTCATATTGGTATCTGAAAACCCATTTTCTCGTATTTCTTCCTCCCCTTTCCACAGCTACCTCATCTCCCCACATTGCCTTCCTTCTCCACATCTCCTTTGTCCAATACCTATGAGCTAATACCCATTCCAACCTCTCTTGAGCTAGATCCTCATCCAAATAAACTCTCTCTTGTACCATCCACTTTTTAAGATGCTTTTTTTCAAGTCTTCTCCTTACTGTCCTACTAGAAACATTGGGAGCAACTTGCTCAGCAATGTCAGAATAGGTAGTACGGCGATTTTTAAGAGCTTCCTCCACCATAGCATCATCATGTGACTTGGTAGTTTTAGAATGTCTTCCTCTACCCTTATTCTCCTTGCCCTCTTGATGTCCCTTTGCAATTGTGTCTCTGACAGTAGTGTAGGGGATATTAAGGTAGTGGGAAATTTGCTGATATCTCATCTGAGGCTCATGTAATGTGAGAATCCTCCCCCTGGTAAACTCAGAGAGATGTGTGGAGGGAATAAGTTTTTTGGCATGACTGCGAAGAATAGGAGGCATAGTTTATTGAAAAAAAAAAGAATTGAGCAGAATGGTTTCTTCTTGGTTGACTTAGAGCAATTATTTTAGGTACTGTTGAGTGTGCGGGGTGATGAAGAGGGGTGGGTTGCCACCAATTATTGAATCGCGATTAATTTTGTCAACGCACAATAGATACTGTACCCGCACTACATCCTGGAATACATTATTCCCGGGTGGGGCTGCAGCTTCATTGGTTACCAAAGTCCAGCCCAAAACGACATCTTCGAACCGTCACTGATGGATAATTCATACGCGAAGGTGCTGCAGCACAGTTTTTGGTCAAATTGGGTTAGATGGATTTGTATGTGGTCTGGAAGGCTGCCAGCGGGAATTGTTATGGGGCTTTCTTTTGTCGGTTCGAGGGTGGCCGGGTCATGAAATCCCTGGTCGGTGCAGACGTCACCCGGTGCCGGCAAATATCTCCCACTGTTTCAAGGGACCGAAAACACTTCCAGTAGGTTTTTTTATGTATTCCCGGAACGTAGAGAATTATCATAACCCCTATTTGCCACTATAGGATGTTTATCCCGCCCAGCCCTCTTTGTATGATAACTTACCCATCACAGACATTATTAAATCGCCCGATTTTTCTTCTTCTTTTAGTGACATTCCCGAGCACATAACTACTCTATAGGCACATGCATTATCCCCCCCCATCATTCCATTCATCCCTTTTTGAACTTAACAGTCGGGGGCCCGATGCGGTGCGACTATTCTCCCTACCACACCTTTAGCGTTCGGGGCTCCCCAGACACACATACCGCACCGGGATGCGAACAGTGCAAACATTGGGAAAATTGGAAGCGGCAGTCTTTCACAAAGACGTAGTAATGATTGCATCGACGGATATGATCTCACCGCGTTTCTCCCCCTTTTTTTATATCTATAATATTATTCTCCACATAAAGTACCCCCCCCCCCCACCCCAATTTCCCAGTCCTTCTTAACTCCAGTCCATAAATGGGTGTTTCTTCCCCCCCGGCCTATTCAAAAACCCCTTCATATTTTCTCCACCTTCCGGGGGCGGGGGGACCCTGGCACGAACGTACCCGGGGAAGAACCCTCCCCATTGTCAAAAACCCGCCCTTTTTTTTATAAATTCCCGGGCCCATTTACCTCCCCCCGGAAAAAGAAAAACCTCCTGGGAAAATGATTTCCCCCTACTTGGGTTTCAATTGCCCCCGGGCGATTATAAAAACCTCAGTCCTCAGAAAAACCATAAAACAAATAAATCCTACCCAAAAGTATTTAATCCTTCTCTCTTTTTGGACCCCGAAAAAAAAATTTGACACGGGTGCCCCCCCTCTTGCGGCAGGGGGCAATTAAACCCCCCAAAAACCCCCCCTTTTACCCCCCCCCCACATCCTCCATCCTAGTCCATCATTGACTCATGTCGATGAATGTGTGTTTCTTCGCCACGGGCTATGTCAGAGCCCGCTTCGATATTTCGTCAGCTTCCGGGGTGCGGGGGTACATGTACAGTACTGTACCGGTGGATGATCGCTCCGACTTGTCATAAGCATGCACTTTTTTTATATATACCGTGACAGTTTACTCGCGCGGTAGAGAGAGAAGCTGCTGGGAGATATGATTACCCTACTGGTGTTCAAATGCGCACGGCGCAGTATGATAACACGAGTCTCAAAGATCGCAGTAATCATGATAGATCACTCGAAAGATTGTAATACGTATCTATTGTTGTGCGGGATGAGAGTATTGCACGGCAGCGCCTGACTGCGAGGGGGCAATTAAAACGTCCTAGAAGCACCGTTTCTCCCGTATATCATACTCGAGTGGATTGGAAGTCGTCTGGTAGGACACGGTGTCATAACGGGGTCGACCAATCGGATATGTTGTAACTTGTAGAGGTGAACCTCTTAGGGGACATGCATCGCATGATTTTTGTCGGGGTTTTCACGGTGGGTGTAATGATATCTCAGGCGCTGCTCGGTGATAAATATTATGATGGTCTTAAATTATTTTAAGTCTACCGCTCGAGAACCCACTCCGCTAGTTACTCAACAAAGATCGCTCGACCGCCAACTTGTTTCGTGCATAACGCCCTCACAAAACCCAGGTGTACCATACATACCGATGTCATCCACCCCCACACTAGCATCGCCTACGCACGCGGCACAAGCGCGACGGAAGCGCGAGTTACGATAGGGTGCGTGCATGGTCACATGCATGCTGCCGAACGGAGAAATGTAACAATGTATGGCCGCGGCACGCGTAGGGGGGTTGAGTGACCATGCTTGCTGATATCTCACCTCCAAAACGTGCAAGAAGAAGGAAGGAAGGAAGGAAGGATTCATTACTTAAGTGTGCGCAGGTCGTGATTCGTTATACAAGAAAAAGAGAAAAAAATATCACCGAGGTTTTCGCCCATAGATCACATGTCTGCCCACGATCAGTACTAGTGTTACAAGCTTCAGATAGGGCGGTAAAGGGAAGCACTGACACGGGGTAATAACTATGAATCTTCTTGTTCTTCAAGTCCACCTTCACCTCGGTGAGGAAGGAATTCACATCCTCTATCTTCCACCCGAGTGTGTGCGTGAACAAGCTGAGCGATATAGCATCCAGCCCATCCAATAGGGCGGACATCTGGTATCCGCCAATCTCCTTCAATCGTGGGTCCTTCGGCCACGCTCCGTTGGGCAACCTTATCACCGTCTCTACCACGTCTACGAACCCGGCGTCCACGAACCAGCCTCTTATCTTGGCGGCCGTGAGTAGTCGCCTGTTCGCCTTGATGGAGGCTTCGGTGAGGAGGTCGTGCCAGCGCTTGAAGGCCGAGTTCTCTGGCAGACTGGAGTCGTCGCTGGTAGGGTAGAAGTAGCACTCTTGACCTTCGATCCAGGCACCGGGTTTTAAGGCACTAGGTCCGCGCATTAACCATGGCTATGGACGGGTTAAAAAAAAAAGCAAAAAAATAAACAAAACATACTCGTAGCTCTGCTTAATCAGCCTCGGCCAATCCGCGATACTCCCTATCAAATGGCGGAAATGAACATAGTCGAACGAATCACTGGCGAAATTCCAGTCGGACTCTGCGTCGTCGATTTCGAACTTGAGGTTCGGTGGGGACCAACTCGGTTGAATTGGGGAGATGTCCGTTCCGATGATTGCCGTGTCCCTGTGGGTGTCTGCCATGTCGATCGCCCAGTTTCCGGTCCCTGTTCCGATGTCCAGGACCCGCTTCAGATTCCTGAGCGGGGCAAAGTATTGCCTTCCGTTGAAAAGACTGGTATATACGTGGTGGACCAGCTCCATGCGGGAGTTTTCTCTCTACGCTGGGTTAACTGGAGAATTCTAATGCGGTTACTGTGCCGGAAGAGCTGCTACCTCATCATTCGGGAAAGCGTAGTACCCCTCGTGGTATTTTCTACATGGCATGGCCTATTAGTCCGTAGATCCCACAAGCGGCGAAAAATCACTTACGAGTTATATCGCCGACCATTCTCAAAGATATAACCCGTGATCGAGGGAGACAGTGAAGTGGTCTCGGTAGACCTACCGGTACCAAAATAGTCAACACCCAACCAAATGTCTTCCTTAACCCAACTCAACCCAACACTAGCTCCAAAGGCGGCACATACTCTCCACTATCCGTCTCGTAGGATTGCTGCTAAACCTCAGTTAGCATCAACTCTCCGAAGGGGAAGAAAAAAACCCAGGAAACCGCTGAGCAGGAAAGAGGAAAAGGAGAAACAGAAACTCACATCTGCCTCAAGAACTCTCAGCTTGCCTTCCATCTTTGTCTCGTGTCGCGGATAATGTTTCGATGCAAGGTTCAAGTGGTTATTTCAAGTAACTGCGCGTTGGGAGGGTTATGAGCACAGGATGTGGCCATAAAAATCACAAAACATAATCCGAATCTCCCATAGAAACTTTGAACAGGATCAAGATTTCCGATGCGCACCTGAGTAGAAAGGTGGGCACTACCGGTATTTGTATTTCCACTCTCCCTCCACCAACAAAAACAGGGAAAAGGAAATTTGCGTTGCATGCTGCATGTCGCACCTGCGGACGGAATGTCTCAAAAGGTATTGATAGGTTACTCGATCAGCCACATAAGAAGCCATGTGGGGTAGATCCTGGGATTTCTATGCGGCCATTAAGCGAATGTCCTCACGAAACGGGATTCACTTTTGCTCGTGGAACGAGCTCTTGCCCCACGGACCTAAATTGCGCAACATCTCCCTCCCCTCGTGGTGTCTGCAATCTCCGTCAGAGGGTGAGCCCGTTCCACCAAATTATCCTTGCCGAGTGATTGTACGAAAATGGTAGGGTACGGGCACTGTATCGTAACGACATCGCATACGCCCGAAGATGCCGCCAACACTCTACGAGATGATGCGGTACTGGGGTATGGACGTAAGTGATGGGATGGACAGGGGTTTTTGAGTCCGTGGGTAGTTACCTCCAGAGTGAAAAATTGATTTAATTTGGTGGGTGCGATGCTAGGAATGGTAGGAAGCTTTGACATTGTCGAGCCTTGTCCGTCCCATCACTTACCGGTATGTCCATACCAGAGTGCAGTTACAGCACGGGTACCGGTAGTCATCCCACCTCCTTCCTGATCTGGCTACGCCCTACCGGCACCTTGACACCTACTCGTACAGTACGAGGCTGGTGCCAAAAATGATGAGCGGCAACACCCAAATTTTTGACTATGACAACAACTTACTATTGCAATAAGAAAATGAATACCCAACCACGGCAGCCTCCAATGGGTGAATGGAGGACACCTACGAGGACAAGAGTACTTACTCTATTGGAGGCTGGATTATCGCAGTCAGAAGGGGTCCACAAGATGAGTGTTCCACCTTTGACAGTATCATTGTAACATGTTCGCAAGATGCTATTCAGGTTATTGGTAATAGGTATGATAGTTGGTGGGTGGCCTGCTCTACCAGAGAGGAGGCAAGAGCTGAGAACTAAAGGAGGCTTCGAGGGTGTACTGAGAAAACTATAAAGTAACCATTCAACCAATTATATTAAAATACTGTCTGTTGAAGTCTGCTGTTTCCATCATAGAATCAGGTGGTCTTTAAGTACACAAATCTGTTCATATCTAGCAAGAATGAAACTATTCAAAGGTATCAAACAATACACTTTGGTAAAACAAATTAAGTATCAAACGATACTTAAAACATAACATAAAACAAAACCAAATATTAAACAATACTTAAAACAAACCAAGTATCAAAGCGATACTTACAACAAACCAAGTATCAAAGCGATACTTAAAACAAAACATAAAACAAAACCAATAACCAAGTACCCATACTGTAACCGGTACGGGTACTCGGTTATTGGTTTTGTTTTATGTTTTGTTTTAAGTATCGTTTGATACTTGGTTTTATTTTATGTTTTGTTTTAAGTATCGCTTTGATACTTAAGGAGTTTTACCAAAATGTATTGATTGATACCTTTGATTAGTTTCGTTCATGCTAGATATGAACAGATTTGTGTATTTAAAGACCGCCTCTTTCTACGATAGAAAAGGCAGACTTCGACAGATAGTATATCAATATACTTGGTTGAACGGTTACTTCTTTGTTCCCCAGTACACCCTCGAAGCCTCCTTTAGTTCTCAGCTCTCGCCTCCTCTCTGGTAGAGCAGGCCACCTGTCAACTATCGTATCTATTACTGATAACGTGATTGGCCCCTTGCGAACACGTTACATTTTTTTAACCTCAGCAAGTGGTTAAGAACCTGTCCCCGGATTTAGGCCTGATCAACCTATCGATATCCACCTCAGAACGCTAGCGGAGAGAAGCGGCAGAATCACAACACATTTGGCTTCATCTCAAACCCAAGATAGAGTCTTTGACGACCAGGAGTGGGAAGCAAATCCCACAGCAAGACCTTACAAGAAAGAAACAACCCCGGCGCTCTGCTAAAGAGCTGAGTGATCCTGCAAACACGGAAGATATACAACCTCCAGGAGAATTCCCTGCTACTCCAGCAAAGAAGCCTTCCTTTGAACCTCCAATTGACTCCGAACCTAGTAGCGAATCAGATATGGCTAGCACAGGAGGAGGGCCTTCTGGAGGAGGAAAATCTCGGGCTAGGCCTGAAGAAGGGGAGGTACTCGCAGCATTTGAACCCCCAAAGTTTAAACTCCACCTCCCAGCGAAATTCACAGGAGAAGGAAAAGACCTCAAACGTGAAGCTTTTGATCAATGGGCAACGGAACTCTTACACTTCCTACTCTTACAAGGAAAAGATGTGGAAGACCCTACAACCGGACTTATCATTGGATCGTTCTGCGAAGGAAAGGCAACCGACACATACCACCAATGCTATAAGGAATACGGCGGGAATGTAAGATTAAGAGGAACTAGAGTTCTCAATTACCTGAAAGGACGATTCCAATCCTCTATAACCAATGACCTCCTGTACAACAAATTCAACCAGCTCCAGCAAGTTAACGGAACGTATGTTAAGCGAATCACCGATGTGACTACGGACCTGATAATGTATAAGGACCAAATGGAAAAAGGAAGTATCTCCAAATACATCCTGAAGCGACGATTCTACGACACGATGCATTCTACCCTCAAGTGAGAAGTAGAACCACTCGAGGAAGACGGTGATGATATTGCTGTAATAATTGCAAGAGCAGAACGAAAGGACGCCATTCTCCATGAGAGCAAGACCTACAAAACACAGACATCCTCTAGTAGGAACAGCCAGCCACGGTACAAAGTCTCCGGCAACTCTGAAGACGATACCCCATGGGTTTTCAAGAAGAAAACAAAATACTCCAAAGAATCAAGAGGGCAGAAAGGAGAATGTTTTGAATGTGGAAAAACAGTACACATGGCAAAGAACTATCCTACGAAGAAAGGGAAAGGAAAGGCAATTAAGCAAGAAGCATTGGCCAAGAATGTTGAAAGCGATAATAACCAATCCAGCAAATATGAAGAAATCCATATCGGATACATCGATGTGGAATGCAACAGTGTTCGACCTCCAGCTACATTCAAAGCACACACCGCTCTGGAAGGTACTATCCTGATCAATGGTAAAATGGCTCGAGTCCTATTTGACACTGGCACAATCGGAAGAGATATGATCAGTAATGCCTTTATCTCTGTCCATGGACTTCCCAACTCGAGACCTTAACCAACCCATACCAGTTAATATGGCAGTAAAGGGATCACGATCCACAAGCCATAAAACCTGTAGTGGGACTATTCGACTTGGTTCTGCAGTCCTACCCCCCCAGGAAATGCTGGTTGGAAATTTAGCCAAATACGATGCCCTAATAGGTATGCCATTCCTGAACCGCCATAAAGCTATAATCAGGTGTGGGGAATCAACCATCGATTTTCCAGATCAGAAGGTCAGAGTCTCATGCAAGCCAACAAGCGGAGAGAACCGAGCTGCAGTCTGTGAAGCAACTGCCCAACGACTATTAGATGAATACTCTGATGTTTTTCCAGATCAAATACTCAAAGAACTACCGCCTATGAGAGAGGTGAACCACCACATTCGCCTCCGGGACCCCTCTAATCTCAAGAACCAACCCACCTACTCTATTCCTGACGCAAACAAAAGCCCACTTTGTGATTGGATCAACCAACAACAAAGAAGAGAAGTCAACTACCGGGCAGAAGCCCTAGGTGCCGCTCCTATGTTCGTTCAACCCAAAGCAGATGGCAAAAGAATCCGCCCCTTGGTTGACCTCAAGCTACGAAGTGAAAACACGGTTATGGACAGCTCCGCTATCTCAAACCAAACCCAGATCCTAAATGCAGTTGGACGGGCTAGATTCCGAAGTAAGATTGACCTAAGCAATGCCTACTTCCAAACAAGGTTAGATCCAGAAAGCGAACGCTACAACAGTTTCAAAACACCCTTCGGAAGTTTCATTAGCTGAGTTATATTACAAGGTGATATAAATGCGCCCACTACCTTTATCCGAATTATGGAAAACCTGCTGAGTGAATACCTCCACCATTTTGTTTGCGTCTACATTGATGATATTCTCATCTTCTCGAACACCAAAATAGAACACGCCTACCATATAGGTTTGGTTTGTACCAAACTTAGGGAAGCTAAATTCTACGCTTGCAGAAACAAATCAATCCTATTTGCCGATAAACTCGATATCCTAGGACATGTTATAGATGATGAAGGATTACATGCAGCCCCTGGAAAAATAGCCTGTATAACGGAATGGTCGACACCCCGGAATCAAAAAGAACTCATGCGATTCCTAGGACTAGTCAACTATATTTGCCAGTTCCTACCACAGCATGCCACTGTAACAGCACCGCTCACAGACCTTATCGTCAATGCAGAATTTGTCTGGACCCACACTCATGACCAAACCTTTACCAACATCAAGGAATTGATTAAAAACGCCAACGTTATTCAACCTATCGACTATAGTAAACCAGAACCGATATGGCTAATTACTGATGCATCGGAGGTTGGAGTAAGAGTATGGGTTGGGCAAGGGGCCTCCCATGAAATGGCAAGACCGGCGGCATTACACAGCAGGAAGTTTACTAATTCACAGATGAACTATGGAACAACAGACAAGGAAGCCCTTGCTGTGATTGATGCTCTCGCCACTTTCAACCACATCCTGAGAGACAATACCTTCACTATTGTTACCGACCACTAACCCCTCACTAATCTTAAAACAGAAAGAATAACTGGAAGGAGAAGAACAAGATGGATAGGTGAAATCAGTAAATACAATGCAAAAATCATCTATTCCCCTGGAAGAACGAACTATTTAGCTGACGCTCTCTCCCGCCTATATGAAAAC